CTATGGAAGCTACTCTGCTTCCAATCCAGTTTCTTGCTAATCTGCCAGGGAAGAAGCAGACATCCAAGCACTAGGGCCAAGCCACAAGCATGGGCGACTAGGCCAGAGTTCTTAGGCCCTGGCCTGGTCTGGACCTAGCTGTTGCCATCATTTGAGGCAGTGAATGGCAGATGGAAGATCTCTGTTACTCTGCCTTTCAAATGTATACTTTTCTTTTTAAAGAAAGAAATGTAGCATCTTTTAAGAAATAAAATTGCCAGCGGTTGGTATTGCGGTATAGCAGATAAAGTTGCCACCTGCAATAAAAGCACCCCATATGGGTATCAGTTGTAGTCCTAACTTCATATCCAGCTCCCTGCTAATGCACCTTGGAAAACAGTGCAAGATAGCCCAAATGCTTAGACCCTGCCACGCACATGAGTGACCTGGCCTGGCCTGGCCTAGCCCTGGCCGTTGGGGGAGTGAACACACAGAAAATTGTGTGTTTGTGTGTGATTGTGTGTGTGTGCCTGCCTCTCTGCCTGTCTCTCCCTCTTTAACTCTGCCTTTTAAATAAATCAATCTTAAAACTGTCTGAAAAATTGCTTGTGTCTATGAGTGCACACATTTTTCTTGAGCAATAATCAGTGATTTCAGTAGGAACAGAAAGTTAGTAGGGGTGGGGCCTTCGCAAAGCTGTAGTTAGGACTCCCCCACCCCCGGGCTCTCTGCAGTGCCTCTGTCAGGCCCTCCTCCCTTCACAGCCTTGTGGGTCCCCAGGCCCCAGAAACCCCTTCTTCCCCTTGCCCTTTCTCACACTTTGGTTGGAACTGATAGCCTGTTCCTGGCCCCAGGCTCTGCACACTCCTATGTGGTTTCCCTGCACCCTGCCCACACCTTTGAAATAGTCCCTTCATTAAACTCCCCTCAGATTACCCAATTTGAATGTGCCATCTGTTTCCTGCTGGGACCCTGACAGATACAGTATTATTAATCTGTCATTGCACCATCAATGCCTGCACATTCACACATGCACACACACACACACACTCACACATTCACCCACTGCAAACACACCCACTCTCTCATAGAGTCCCATGTGCGCACACACATTCAGATCCAACACTGCCTTGGGAGATGCTGGGCTCAGGTCAGAGTCCTGTGGAATCCAGGGCTCTGCAGGAACCCTTGGTCTAAGCTGCAGGCTCTGCCGCTTACCACTGGGGTGCCTTTCCCCTGCCCACTGCTATTGAACTGGTAACTGGCGCTGGATCCTCATTCGGAAGCACTGTGCTTCATCTGCTGCAAGTTCAGATGACCCCACCCCGATTGTTCCAAGTGCATAAGGGGTCACATCAAAACGCTGTCTGAAGGGCTAGTGTTACAGTGTAGCAGGTACAGCCGATCCTGGCACCCTACATCCCATATGGACACCGGGGTTCAAGTCCCAGCTGTCCCCTTCTCTTCCAGCTCCCTGCTATTGTGCCTGGGAAAGCAGAGGAAGACGGCCCAAGTAGTTGGGCCCCTGCACCCATGTGGGAGAGCCGGAAGAAGCTCCTGGCTCCTAGCTTCAGGCTGGCCCAGGTTCTAGCCATTGACACCATCTGGGGAATGAACCAGCAGATGGAAGATCTTTCTGTGTGTGTGTAACTCTGCCTTTCAAATAATCTTAAAAACAAAAATCCATTTTGAAAGCACTGCCCAGAATTGTGAGCCAGGGAATGTAGATCCAGGAATAAAATCAAAATCTTTTCCTCAAAGAGCTGAACGCATGAGATCACAGCCATGAAGATGCATTTACATGGAAAGGACGCAGTGCACTGGGCAGGAGTTGAAGGGAGACAGATTTTGGCTCGTTATTAGGTCACCTTTCTAGTAGCTGCAGCTGTCCAATGACGGACAGCTCACCTTGTGAAGCGAGCCCTTAGCTGTGTCCCAGAGAGTCTCATTAGGATGTGGGATCAAATGACCTCAACGGATGCCCTCACATGCATTCATGACCTTCGGCAGCTTCTTCCTCCTCACCTCCAACATGACCCCTCTGTCTAGGTGTGTCCCAGGGCCCCTCAGCAAGCCGGGAACGCACAGATTTCCTGGCTCTGTGAGCAGAGAGCCTCACACAGAGTTGGGGAGGGGGTGGCGGCGTTTGGAAAGGAGCCGCACAAGTAATTAGCGATGGAAATGCAAATCTCTCGCTGCCTCTGGGATGTCTTCGTTTGCAGATTAAAACAAGGCTGGCTGAATCTTGGATGAATAATTCCATTCCCTCCAGAATCAGCTACAGACTGTAGGACACTGAAATATCGGCTCCGCTTTGCAGGGGGAGGCCAAGGGGCAGGGTGCGAGTGGTGCCCCCAGCAGATGCCAGCCCTGCAGCCTCCTTGCCACTCAGCCTCCTGGCCCTTCTGTGGGGATGAAAATGCCACCTGAGAGGCATGCTTCCCTGGGCACTGACCCGTACAAGGTAGTGTCCCGGGTCTGGTTGGAGAGATCATTCCAGAACATGTCTGCATCTAGAGCTCCCATACGGACTCGCTCTGGGGTTCTGGGGATGGCACTGAACCCAGGAGTTTCCATTTTCTAATCTGCAAAGTGTGTGTGTGTGTATGTGTGTGTTTCCCAGTCCTATGCGTGCAGCATGCTTGGCATGCAGGGTAACTGGAATCCTTCCTACCAACGAGCCTGTGAGGTTCTAGGGAGCGGCTAGAATTCTAGAGAATTCTAGAATTTTCTAGAATTTCTGCATTCTGGAAGGCATACGTGGCTTAGCAAGCCTCTCGATCTTACCCAAGGATTCAGAAAGTGAGCCTAGGGGCCTCTCACCTTAGTCTAAGGTGTCAATGGAGGCAGTGTGAGGGCTGTGGGTGGATGAGGCAGAGGGGTCCCCAGAGCTCAGGCAGAACCCTTTTGCTTGCTATGGCTGTCAGGTATTTTCCATGTCAGCTACTGGAAACTGCTTTAAGCTCGAGGATCAAAAGCAGCAGCAGCAGGACCCCTTCCCACTCTGGCCCGGAGGGTTTGGTGAGGGTCAGTTACACAGGGTCCTGGAGAGGGTGCAGGTGGGGATGGAGAACTCACTTCTCAAAGGCCCCTGGGGACTGAGCTGGCAAGGCCCTTGGAATCCTGTGCTGTATCCCCGAGTACAATCTAAGCTTGACCAGGCCTCTCCCTGCTTCATGATATATGCCTTTGCAGGGGGCAGGAGGGTGGCTCCCTGTACAATGCATTGGAGATAAAGAACTCAGGACCAATCCTCCTTTAGTTAAAAGATGCTCTAAAATGTACAACTACAGCAGCCAGGGTCTTCATAATAGTTAGCATTCTTCAATCAGCTTTCCTGCCAAATGAGTTATTTGGAAGGTTGGAGAATTCCCCATGGCCAGAGGGAAGAGATGAAGATGAAAACTTGCACTTTAGATAACGAGGATTTTATTAATTTGTTACTATTTTAAGCTTCCATACAAAAATCTTTTGTATTGATTTCAGGGTGATGTACTGACTAGATAAATATGCCAAATTGTACCAGTGAGCCAAACAGTATTTTTAACCTACTTTAAAATATGTGTTGTTTCCTACGGTTTTTTAAAGTTTGGAGTTGATTATGAAAGCATTTTCAATTTTTTTTTTAAATTCTTCTTTCCAGAGAAAATACATTTTTTAAAGTATTAACTACGAAGCTTAATGGGGGAGGGTGATTATTTTCTAAGTTACAAATTAAGTTTAGAAAGCAGGAAATGTTTTTCCTATGTATGCCATTGTATTGGGAACTACTATCACAACAAAGGAGATGTGAATAAAATCCTCTGCATACATAATTGAAACATATTCCTATGTGTAATTTTTTTTTCCCTGATCACTGCCTATTTAGTCTAATTAGCCTCGTCGGTGCATAACACTGTGTACTTCCTCAGGCCCCCACCACAAACTTTGGGATCTTCACAAAGGAATGGGAAAAGCAAGCGCTGGCTAAGACCCCATCTACCCATTCAGCCCAGCCCTGCATGTCATGGGCATCTGGGATACATAAGCTCTACCTCTCTCTCTCTCCCTGTCCCTCCACCTTTCCAATGAAGAAAAGTGGAGGTTTTTTTCGAAGGAAGATGGCAGCGGCCCTACCACCGTGTCAGAGCTGGAGAACTCAGGCTGCGGGGGGGCCAAACCCCAGCTAGAACATCCACTGGTTCCAAGGACCTTGCCATCTTGCCATCTTCTCATTTGCTTGCTTCAACACGGAAAAATCCGTGGCCCTCTCAAGGCCACGGGGAAGATGAGTGAGATTGACAGAGGGGTTTGGGTTCTTGTTTGGAAAGCCATGGCAACGACTATCGCGGTTACTGGGGACTCTGCCGCTGTTTCCCTCATACAGAAATATGAAAATCTCACTTTGTGCGACGCCAGCGATTGACTGCACTTTGGGTGGTGGGAGATCTTAGAATATTCAGGTGCAGGGCAGGGACCAGGGTGGGGGGCTGTCTGGAAGTCACCTAAGCATATTACAGCAGCAGGACAAGAGCTGAGAATGGGCGAGGGCTCATGTTCCCAGTCGGACTGCCCACCGGGAGCGGGAATCCTCCGTATGGTCCCTTCTAATTTTAGAAAGCCCTTCCTGGGGCCAGCTCTGTGGTGCAATGGGTTAAGCCACTGCTTGCAATGCTAGTATCCCACATCCTTGTTGATTCAAGTCCCGGCCGTGTTACTTCAGATCCAGCTCCCTGCTAATGTGTCTGAGAAAGTAGTAAAAGATGGTCCAAGTGCTTGAACCCCTGTATTTATGTGGGAGACTCAGATGACGTTCCGGGCTGCTGGCTTCAGCTTGCCCCAACCCTGACTACTGTAGCCAATGTAGCCATGAACCAGTGCATGGAAAATTCTCTTTCTCCTCTCTCCCTCTCTGACTCTGCCTCAAAGAAATCCCTTCCTGTTTCTGAGCTGAAACCTGGCTGGATAAGGCAGGTGTGGGGTGGTCTTTCTACCCCTGTCTGCTTTAGTTCCCCCTCGCCACAGCCCAGGCCTGGGCTTACCTGAAGTTGTAGCCTGGGGAGACGCTGCTCTTCTCAGAAACGCCATCCAGCCGGGTGAAGGAGTATTTGGGGATGCACTGGTCCCAGGCCTTGTCCAAGTCACACACCCAACCGATCTTGATGCCCAAAACTCCGCCCTGAAGAGAGGGCCGATGTGAGCTCTTCCGCGGCCCTCTGACCCCACCTTGATACGGTCAGGGGTGGGGGTCGGGAGTGCTGTGAGCAGAGCAGCACCTCCTCAAAGACCCCAAAGTCTTGTATTCAAGCCACTTTGGGGGCTGGGCCTGATGATGGCAGGCACTTGCTCACCGCCTGGTGACACGTGCCCCCCCCATCCTCCCGTGTGGTATGCCCCAGCCTGAAGGCTCTCCCAAGGCTGGCCGCACGCCCTGAGCGACGGGCTCCTGCTCTTTGTACTGCTCTCGGGCATTTTGTTACAGCAGCAGAAGGCTGACTGAGCCGGCCTGCTGTGGTCAGGGCGAGACGTCCTGGGCCTCCAAACCCTGTTTATGGAATCCTCGGCTGCAGTGCAGGAGAAACTGGCCACAGATCTGCTTTCCTGTTGTGGGGCCCCTTCCTGAGAGCTTAGGTCCTTCCTGGAAGGGCAGTGTGAAGGTGGGAATGGGAAACTGAGGTTCCATGGGGGGGTGGGGAGGGGATCTATAGGGATTGGAGATCAGCCCAGCCAGACCACTCAGGGCAAGGGGAGAGAGACTGATCCAAGCCAGTCGCGGGCCTGGGATGCTTCCACCAGGCGGCGCTGTCTCGAGGTGGGTCCTTCTTCCTGGTGTCCCAGCTGCCTTTCCAAGGGGTGTCTAAAGCCTGCGACTGAGTTTCCGGGCTCAGGGTCACCGAGGAAAGGTTAGATCCTTACCGTGTTGGCCAGTTTGGCAAAATCCTGCCCCGCAAACTTGACCACATCCCCGACCCTCAGGATGGGGCAAAAGGGAGCCTTCTCTGGGTGGAAGCGGCAGGTCTTCATGTCCTTGGCTGTCAGGTTGGGAAGCAGGTTCCCCCTAGCAGGAGAGAAGCAGGCCCTTGCGTGGGTGAGGAGATGGGTGAGCGCCCCACCACCACCACTGCCATACACTCACTCTGCTCCTGCTGGGGCGGCCCAGGCAGTGGGGTCTGAGCCCTGAGCCGGGAGCCTACCCCCTCTTCTGCCATTCCCTGCCTGCTTCTTCCTCTGTCCCTGCCCGCCCCGTGCCCACCACAGCTGCCAGGCAAGGGTCCCTGCCCTCCAGGAGGGTTCTGGCCAGCATGCTTTGCACCTGGTCAGCGCCCATGGAACAGCTGTTGAGTGAACTGGGGACGTGGGGACACGGAAGGAGACCAGCTGCAGTGTGTTCAGAGCCAGGTGTAAGCCTGGTCCCCATCCCCTCCCCAGGACCCGTCTGGGTTCCCAGCCCTTAGGGGGAGGGGAGAAATTGGTTCCAAAGTCCTCCTGATGGTCAAGGACATCTGGGAGGTTGGGAGTTCAAGTCCCCAGGGAGAGAGGAAGCTGAAGAGAAGGTGGGAGGGGGCATTTCCTCGTGTGTGTGTGTGTGTGTGTGTGTGTGTGTGTGTGTGTGTGTGTGTTGGGGGGCCTTTCGACTTCCTGGCTTCAGGCAGGAAGAGTGGACTCACTTCTCAAAGTTGAAGAGAGGGAAGCGGATGCTGTTCTTGATGAAAATGGTGAAGTTCTCCGCTTCCATCATGATGGGCCTGTGCAGAGGGGGAACAGGAGGCCTTAGCTTCTCCAGGAAGAAGAGCAGAGAACAAACAAGCCTTCTCCCAGGGACACCTCTTACGACTGCGGGCCACTGGGAAAGGCTGGACAGCCCTGAGTGTCGGAGGGAGAAGAGGACGAGCGAGAGGCCGGGTCCTCAAGCCAGGAGTGGCTGCTGGGCGGTGCAGGGGCCTGCTGAGCTCCAGCGGGGCCTCACCTCTCCACCGTGTCCACCTCGGTGGGGCACCAGCCCTGGATCTCACAGGTCCGGAGCTCCGCACTGTAGTTCACGCAGCGGCCAGTGAGGATGCCTGCGAGGGTGGAGCCAAGGCTGGGTGACCACTCCCTTTCCCCTCTCCTCCCCCACCCCCTCAGCGGACAGGTGCAGGGAAAGGCAGGCAGGTGGTCCCTCCCTCTCTCCCTCCTGTCCCTCTCCCTCCCCCCATCAGAGCCCTGGATCCAGCCAAGGGGGAGGGGACCAGCCCCCCCCAATCAGCCACCCACCTAAGGACCTGCCCGTTTTCCCTGCTTTTCTGCCTTTGCCCCCCACGCCCAAGCCTGCTGCAGCCTTCCTCCTGCTCAGAAATGAAGCTCCCTTGTGCTGCCAGAGCCCATCCAAACATCACCGCTTCACAGAAGCCTTTGGGGGCCACCCAGCCAGGACCAATCTCACTCCTCTCAGGCTCCCACAGTCGATTCCTCAGCTCCTTGACTGCAGCTGCCACTTCATGGCACCTATCCATCATGGCACCTGTCGCTTCGTGGCACCCATCCATCAGAGCACCCAACACACTGCCCAGACTGGGAGCTCCTCTGAGGTCAGGGGCCATGCTACCACAGGGGCTCCCATGGGGCAGAATGATATGGGACGGGTAAAGTCCTGCTCCCTTCTCCTAGGATGGGCTCCGGGATCCCAGGGACTCACCCCCACCCGGGAAGCGCTCCGGCCCGCATTGGCTGTCAGACACACAGCGGTATTTCTCCTCGTTCTGTGGACAGACGGGGCTGCAGGTGGGTGAAGGGCCCCTCTGAGCCCCTGGATGCCCGCCACCACCCCAGCCATGGCATCAGGAGGGCGGTGGTCCCTGGTGACAGTCGGAAAGCCCTCTCCCTGCCACTGCCCACCCCCCCCACCCCTCCTCTGCCTCCTTGCCAGGCTCCCTCTGGGCTGCCTGCCTCACCTCCGGGCAGAATCCTTGCATCTGGTTTTCTGTAACAATCATCTTGGTGATGATGACAAAGACAGAGGTGCCCTGGGGCGAGGAGAAAGGGAGGGGGGTTAGAAACTCAACAGCCTCAGCATTCAAGGTGGGGATGGTTCCCCTCCCCCCTCCACAGACAGGTCCAGGCTCCTCCAACACCCCCCTGCTTCCACATGGCTGCCCTGGGGTGGAGTGCTACCTGGGGAGGGGTCACGTAGTCCGACACGTCCATGACTCTGTTGGCATAGCGTCCAAAGCCCTTCACCTTGGTCACCACCGAGGACTCGATGGCAGTGTCCCGCACCTGGTATGCCTTCTCATGGAGGAAAACCCAACTGCGGCAAGACAGGAGGGATGGGGAGGGAGGAAGGAAGAGGGGTGGTCAGGACAGGGGTTCTGCCTCCGTTAGGACAATGGGGCAGGGGGTCCGGCAGTGAGGAGGCCCATGCTGGAGGGCAGGAAGCCTTAATAGGCTCACAGCAGCATTTCCCATGACTTTCTGGAATCTTTTAACTCTAATATCAAAGATAATCTGTTTATGTGCTATATGCTTATTTAGGGATTATGCATAAAATTAGTGAGTGGGTTTTACTTTTTTTTTTGGATTCCTTACAAATCCGCTTTCACTCCCTTGGGGCTGTATTGTCCCTATTGGGAATGCAGGGCTCAGTGGTTCTGCCGAGAGAGGAGGCCACCAGCAGAGGCAGAGGACCCTTGGGCCTCTCTCTGATGCTGGGCATTCCAGCTTCATCCATGGCTGTGTCCCAAGGGCCAAAATCAATGAAAGTCCTTGGGGCTGGGGTGCAGAGGAAGGTGTCTATCTGTCCAAGGGTCAGGTGAGAAGAATGGAGGAGGAAGAGAGGGGCAATAACTGTGGGTACCTGGCAGGTACCTGGAATTGGGTAGAAGTGGGCAGTGGCGGGAGTGGAGCCGCCCCAATCTTATTCCTTGGATTGTGCTGCCCCCCAGTGGTCATTTACCTGTACTGGCATCTCTATATATCTTTAAGCCATTCCCTGTGTACAAAAAACCAGGGAGAACCCCTTGGCTTCTCTCACCCCACCTGCCTCCTCCAGCTCTCCTAGATGGTCCCAAAGTGAGGCGGGCCTGCACACAGTCACTGCTGATAACTCCTTCCCTGAGTTTCTTCCAGAAGCTTGCCTTTCCATTCGGAACCACTCAGAGCAAAGTCCTCAAAGCTGAAGCCTCCATCAGGGCCTCCATGGGCACTTACCTCCCAGCCTGCGGCACACTGAGAAGCATATACTCTAACTGTCCACCCCCCCCACCACTGCAGTGAGAAGACCCCACCCAACAGGCCTGCAAAATGCTCCACACTGCCCTTTCCCCCTCAAGACACAGCACCCAATGCAAATAGACAAAGCCAAAGTACATCTGGTAAACCTTGTTGAAGTACAGGGCCATAGCAGCCAGCCTTGAGAAGGCGTGGTAGTGACATCTCGCGGACTGGAAGAGCACCCCTGAGGAAATGCTGGGGTCATTTTCTACATCTAGCCAGGGTGGTACAAGGCTGGAAAGCCACCTCGGAGCAGCAGATCATAGCAGGACTGCAGAGCGTGCAGCCCAGGAGGGCAAAGGCGTGGGAGTCCTTGGCAGGGTGGCTACAGAGGCCGGACCAGGGCTGCGTGAGGCATTCCAAAGGGGGGAGGGCAAGGGTCTCAAGTCCAGGACCTAGTGTCTTCCTTCCCCTTTTTTTCTTTATTTCAAGATTTATGCATGTATGTAAAAGGCAAAGTCAGCAAGAGAGAAAGAACGTCTTCCATCTGCTGATTCAGTCTGAATGGCCACAGCAGTCCGACCTGGGCTGAGCCCAATTCCAGAGGCCAGGGACTTCATCCCGATCTCCCAAGTGGGTGCAGGAGCCCAAGTACTTGGCCCATCTGCTCCTGCTTTCCCAAGTGCTTTAGCAAGGAGCTGTGAGTGGAGCAGCTGGGACATGAACCAATGTCCGTGTGGGATACCATTATACCCATTACATCACAATGCTGGCCCCAGTTGACTTTTGTAATGACCCCCCAACTTCACTCCCCTGCCTCGAGTTGGTCATTCATGGGCAGCTCTGGGAGATGGTGGGAACTGTTTAAAACATATTGAGATTGGGGCTAGCATGGTAGCTCAACAAGCTAATCCTCTCTCTGCAGCTCCAGCATCCCATATGGGCACCAGTTCTAGCTGCTCTACCTCCCATCCAGCTCCCTGCTTATTTGCCTGGGAAAGCAGTAGAGGGTAGCCATAGGCCTTTGGACCCTGCACCCATGTGGGAGACAAAAGAAGCTGCTGGCTCCTGGCTTACGGATCAGCTCAGCTCTGGCTGTTGCGGACATTTGAGAGTGGACTAGTAGATCAAACATCTCTGTCTCTCCTGTCTGTATACCGGCCTTTCCAATACAAATAAAGAAGTCTTTAAAAAATACATATTATTGGGGCCTGGTGAGGTAGCTTAGTGGCTAAAGTCTTCACCTTGCACATGCCGGGATCCCATATGGGCACTGGTTCTAATCCTGGTGGCCCTGCTTCCCATCCAGCTCTTTGCTTGTGGCCTGGGAAAGCAGTCGAGGATGGCCCAAAGCCTTGGGACCCTGCACTCATGTGGGAGATGTGGAAGAAGCTCCTGGCTCCTGGCTTCAGGTTGGCACAACTCCGGCTGCTGCGGCCACTTGAGGAGTGAAGCGACAGACAGAAGATCTTCCTCTGTCTTTCCTTCTCTCTGTATATCTGACTTTGCAACAACAACAACAAAAAACTTTAAAGAAATACAAATTATAGAGAGAAGGAGGGATGCATATACTCACTTCCAAATGCCCACCATGGCCGGGTCAAATCAATAACTCAGGCCGAGCCACCTAGCGGGTGGCAGGCACCCAACTACTCGAGCCATCAGTACTGCCTTTCGGTACTGCCTTCAGGGTCTGATGGAGAACTGGAAGCTGGGATGGAGGCACAGCCAGGTCTCTGTGAGATCGAGTCTGGGCACCTCCGTTGGCATGCCAACGATGGTGCCACATGCCTACCCTGCAGGGAGGCACCTGAGGCTCCCCTTCCTGGTGCTGCCTGCTCACTAGAGCTGGAGCCATCCCCAGAGCCTCGGTGGATCTGACACGGAATGGGCACATGGCTCTGTGTTCATCTAAGGAGACGCTTTCCTGGTGTGGAAGTCAGGTCGGCTGACCTTGGGGTTCTCAGCCACTGGAAGATGCAAAGGGGAGCAGCCCCCAGGACACATGGAAGTCAAGGTGGGCACTGCAGTCAAGTTTACTACCAAGTGGCTCCAGCTCAGCTCTCAGTGCAAGGGTCCGTGGTTATCCCCCTCCCATGTGGCTTATTTTGCTTATTTTTTTAAAAAAAGATTTATTTAGGTCCTGGCGCAATAGTGTAGTGGTTAAAGTTTTCTCCTTGCGTTCACCGGGATCCCATATGGGCGCCGGTTCTAATCCCAGCAGCTCCACTTCCCATTCATCTCCCTGCTTGTGGCCTGGGAAAGCAGTCGAGGATGGCCCAAAGCCTTGGGACCCTGCACCCGTGTGGGAGACCCGGAAAAGCTCCTGGCTCCTGGCTTCGGATTGGCTCAGCTCCAGCTATTGCGGTCATTTGGGGAGTGACTCATCAGACCGAAGATCTTCCTCTCTGTCGCTCCTCCTCTCTGTATATCCATTTTTAGGATAAAAATAAAAAAGATTTATTTATTACGATTTTTATTGCAAAGTCAGATATACAGAGAGAAGGAGAGACAGAGAGGAAGATCTTCTGATGATTCACTCCCCAAGTGAGTGCAATGGCCAGAGCTGAGCCAACCTGAAGCCAGGAGTCACTTCCAGGTCTCCCACACGGGTGCAGGGTCCCAAGGCTTTGGGCCATCCTTGACTGCTTTCCCAGGTCACAAGCAGGGAGCTGGATGGGAAGCAGGGCCGCTAGGACACAAACCAGTGCACATATGGGATCCTGGCTTGTGTAAGACGAGGACTTTAGCTGCTAGGTTACCATGCCGGGTCCATGCTTGCTTTTAAAATGTTCATGGACAAGTAATCCTTGTATGCATTCATTGGATGCAAGGTGAATGTGTCAAAATATAGATACGCTGTCCCATGGTTATCAGGTGCTATTGCCTCGTGTCACTTTTTGGTGGTGTCTGTCACTTCTTGCACGCATCGGGGGAAGGGTGGACTGATGGACGCACGGGAGGACCTGGCAAATGGTTCCAGGCCTGTTACCTGGTCTGTGGCTGCTGCCTTATTTACAGCGGCAGCCCTTCTGATGGATGCACCATTAGGAGTTACTCACTTGCTTGTAAAATGCCTTTATGAGTGCCGCACGTCTGTGGGGATGGGCGGGGCTCTGCCCTCTCTCTCCCTAGCACATATTTCCTTTATTGGGGAGGGGTGGGGTTGCATCAAAATCTCGCATGGTCATCTCACCCATGTAGTTCTCCAAACGGGCACGACCGGCTCGTGGCCCCAGGCTCTGTGCAGTAAAGGCCATGACTCTCCCCAACCCCAAACACACACACACACCCTGCACAGGCTCTCTCTGCTCCCAGGGGAGACGGCTGTTGTTACTGCTATTGCACACTCACCTGAGCGGAGCCACAGTCTAAACACGCCCTTCTGGAGTCTCGGAGTGCCTAGCCACGGAACGAACACGCTGCCCAGTGTCCATCGGAGGGATGGGTTTTCTGAGGCCTCTGCTCTCCTCCTTCAAGTCCAGCAGCATTTGCAGATCTTAGCAGGCCACTATCCCCATATCACCCACAGGGCCTGCTCGGCCGATCCTCCCCTGAGACAACTTAATCACGTGCAAGTCCCCCAAAAAGGAAGCAGGGGCAGATGGGCTGTGCTAACGCCCCCAAGACCCAAGGTGCGTCCGAAACCTGCTGTTGTGCGCTGAGCTTCTCGCAGCCACCCCACCGTGGCCTCCCTCTCCTCTGTCAAGACCTTCTTGGGCCCAGTGGCAAGGAGAGGCCATATTCATTGGAATTCTGAGCTAAGTAACAAGTGGAAGGCGGAGTGCCCCCCCCCCAGGGGCTGAGGACGTCAGCAGGGCAGCTGGAAGGAAGGGGAGGCCTCACTTCCAGCACACAGAGGCTGACGCTGTCTCCCGGGGCCTGGCCTGGGGAGATGGGGCAGGGCTCAGCCTCCAGTTCTTGGCATTGACTCTGCTGCTCTGATTTTTTTTTTCTTGCATTCCTGGTTTATTATTTATGGAGCGGAAGTCGGGTGGCAGCTCCTTGGCAGGTGCGATGGAAAGCAAGGAGGCCAGAGTGGTGTCCCAACACCTTCCCGTCCGTGTCCCAGGGTGTCAGGAAGGAGGCCGGGGAGTGGGTATGAGGAATGTGTGCTGTGTGCGCCTAGGGAGAAAAGGGTCTTCCCGGGGAAGAGGTGTGACCTGGGCAGAGTGCATTGTGGGAGAGGGGGTCTGTGGAATCCACGGATGACTGAGTCACTGCCTCCGGCAAGGCGACCAACACCTATTACCTCCTCTCCCCTCACTGCCTGCGAGGATGGACTCCTAAACTCATCTCCAAGTCCAAGGACTAAGACCTAGAGGAGGACAGGACCTTGTCCAAGGCCCTGATACTACTTGGCATCAGAGATGGGCTCCCAAGCAGGTGTTCTCCGTTCACTGCTCTCCTGGCTGAGCTAAGCGGGGCGTGACACCTCTCTCTTTAAATCAGGACCATGCCTCCATTTAACCGTCTTATGCATTGAACTTACACATTAGCTCTATAAAGAGGCTGAATACTGGGAGGGGGTGTTGGCTTCTGTGCAGAAGGGGAGTCTACAGACTGGGCCTGGGAGAGGGGGAGGAAGAAGGCAGGGAGAGCAGTCCTGTGACTGATGTAAAGCTTCGTCAGTCATATTCCTGAGGAATGGGGTAGCAAAGGGCTGGGAAATGCCCTGCCTGTTAGGAGGCAGCTTCCTTAGGAAGATCCCCAAACCAACCTCAGGTCCAACGCTGGCCAAGACCTGCAGGGTCTCCTTCTGCTTCCTCCTCAGGTCTCCCCACAGGGTGCAGGATGGAGGGTGACGTTAGGAAGCCCTGCCCCCACCTCCACGGTCAGCCCTGGCCTGTCTGCACCAGGGCCAGTAAAGGACACAGCGCAGGTGTAGCGTCAAGCGCAGACAGACACGCAGCCAGGACTGCAGGCGGCGTGAGCGTGTGGAGGTTAGATGCCAAGCTGCTGTGATACGCACAGGAGTGGTGGACTCGCCTCCCGCAGGCTCTAGGCGCTAAAAGTCTTTCCACGGTCAGTCAAGTCCAAGCTGCTGGCATCTCTCTCCAGATGCCTGCAACACCCTTGAACAGACCTTCCTGTACCCGTCCCACTGTCTCCAGTGCCTCAGCGCAGCCGCCAAGGGTGATCTTGCCAACTCAGATCTCTCATCAGGTCTGTCCCACCTGTCCCACTCCATCTCTCTCTCTCTCTCTCTCTCTCTCTCCTCTCTCTCTCTCACACACACAGAGTTAAATGCTTCTGGGGGCAAGCTCCCTGAGAAGGCTTGCAGAATGGCCACTGTGCTCCCACCCACCTGACACCACCTTCGCCTCTTCTCCCTTCATTCCAGCCACATGCCCCCTCCACTTTGCCAGGCTCTTGCCCCAGGCATGAAGGGGCTCAGGGCCTCGAGTCATCCTTTCTTCCCCCTAGGTTGCTTGCCCCCATCTTGCAGATCATGGCTTGCTACCTCACATTAGCAAGAACCCTTCCCTTCACTCCTGCGCATGTCGTAGCAGTGGCTCTCCTAGCTCTGGGTGCCTCAGCATCACGGTTACAACCTGATGTGTGTGTGGAGGTCCTGGAATGAATGTCCATCTCTTGCCTCACACTCAGAGCCCCACAAGGACGCAGAGCCCTGTCTCCTTTATGCCCAGCACTCTATGCTTCGTACACAATGCCTTGCATGGAGGGATGCTGGCTACGTCTCTGCTGAACGGGTGATGATGGGTTCACGGAGTCGCAGGAGCTGGGCTCACATGCACAGAGACGGGTGGGTTCAGGCCCGGGGCTATAACTGGAAGGCAGTGCCCTGTGGGGGAGCTGTCAGGCTGGCAGATGGATGGTGGTTAGAAATCAAGACGCCAATGAGCATCGCGTGCTTGCTTGCAGCCCCACGCACTGGAGAAACATGAGCAGGGGCAGCTGAGCGGGGCCCGTCCAGGAGCCGGGGCTGGCGGCGTCTGTATCCCCCATCACCCTCGCCTGCAGCCTGTGCAGCCAGTCGGGCCCAGAGGTGCTGAGACAGCTTTTTTGCATTCACCTGGCCCAGCGCTCATCTTATGGCTATAAGCAGCTCCAGCCTCGAGCACATGAGCCTGGGACGCTCAAGAACCGACTTCTAGCCGTTCTCCGAATGACCACGGGCAAACCTCACAGCTCACAAACCTTCAGTGTCAGAAGGGAATTCCAGGCCGTTAACCCTACTCCCTGCCTTAACGCTTCTGCACTATGCCCATTCGGGATACACAGCCTTGCTACGATATCCTCAAACCGGAGTCCATTAGCTTTGGCTAAGAATGTGCAGGGGAAAACAAAATTGCTTAAAAGCATCGCCTCTTCCTACTTTTTGCACGACTCGAAACTGGCAGGCAGGCAGGCAGGCTCCAGCATGCACACCCTCAGCGTCTCCATCGCTCGTCTGGTTTCATTCAGGCCAGGCAGTCTGTGGCTGGCTGGCTCTCACAGACTCACTGTCAGGAGGAGACTAAACATCCACATGCCAGAAAAACCTTGGAGGTTCCTGGTGCCCACCAGTGCGTGGAAAGGACCATAAGAAACAGCGGCTGTCCTTTTCCGGCCTCCCCGCCAGGTCTACCGACAGCCCTTTGTGTGCACAGAGGTGTGAGCCTCCAAGAGGCGGGGCCGGGAGGGGCTGCCTGCGCCTGGGAGACTGCAAGCAGAGGCTCTGGCCAAGTTACCAGTTACCCTGCGATGCCAGGTCAGGCAGGGGCAGGGGGCCCACAGGATGCAGCCTGCTGGGGGTGGGGGTGGCGGTTTCTCTGGCAGTGACCCCCCCATCCCTTTTGGGAGCGCTCCCTCTCTGCTCCGCAGACCTTTCCCCTTGACGGCTCTCTCCTCGTGCTGTCTGCAGCAGCAGCTGCCCTCCGTGTCCTACCCTCCAAGGACAAGGGCTTCTCTGCTGGCCAGTCCTCTGCCCATCTGCCCTCCACCGGGACCCAGAGCTGGTTCTCCCTCCCTCTCACCATCTACCCCTTCAAGCCAACAACCCTCACCTTGCTCCCCCTGCATTTTTTTGAGACTCTCCCCACCCAACCCCAACCTCCTCCCTAGAGTTGACTGAAAGGATTGGGAGAGATCTGCCATTCTCAGGTTGGCAGGTGGTGAGGGAGAGAGCGGGGTCATTTGGGAATGCTCCCAGAGGAGGGCAGGGCCAGGTCCAGGACCCGACTCCTTGGAACTGGTGTCCCGGCCTTCCTCTAGGGGCCAGGTCCAATCTTTGGGATGTGGTTGCGCAGCACCCAGGGTTTCCCCCTAAGAGGAGAAGTCCACAAAGCTGGGTGCAGGGGAGGACCACAGACTCACCCCACAAAATAGGAAATGATGAGAAGCTGCACAGCGCGGTTGATGATGCCGATGGTCCAGCTCTTCACCACCACCGACTTGGTGGTCTCGTAGGTGAAGAAGTCCGAGACGCAGTTCATGCTGTGAGGGTGTTCAGGGGTGCTGGCTCAGGGCAGAGGGGGGAGAGCTACAGCACAGGAACCCAGGCTCCGAGGGGCAGTGCGGAGATGCTCCAAGGACTAGGCACCTGCTCCTGCAAGCCAGGCAACCCCAGTCCAGTGTCCAGATTCTCTGCTCTTGATACTCTGGCTGTCAAGAGTCCAGGGCCAGGGCGGGGGACCCCCTTTTATGTGTCTCCACCCCACTCCCCTGTGATGTCACAGCAGGGGTGGGGTCTCCCAGCCCGGGCTGATTGCCTGGGAGGCAGCTGCCTAAGGGCCCTTGGGGACTCATGTTTTATCTGCACTCTGTCTCCCGCTCTCTTAAGTTGCATCCTCATCCCAGCTCACCAGCTGCTTCGGGCTGGTCCCTAAAGCCCTTTGCAAGTGCCCCTCCCCCACGGACACCCCCTTGCACGCGCGAGTTCCTGCCTGGTTCCACCCAATCCTGCAGCCTACCCTTCCCATTCTAAGCTGCCTGAAGAGCCCCTGCCAGGGGAAAGGGTAGTGAGGGGGGGAGGGGAAGTCTTGAATATTTTCCTCCATCTCCTGGGAAGGAATAAATAGCAAAGAGTCATATATTTTTAAATCCAGTTGGTTCTTGCTGAAGCTCTACCTGTGGCATAGCAGTTACTGTATTTTTTCTTTTTTGATTTCAGGTCGCTTGTGGGATTATGTTTCCCTTAGAAGGCCGGGGTTTTCCTCTTGTTCACTCCCATCCTAGGAGTGCGCTGTGTTCATTACAGGACCCCGCTACCATGAATTTCTCGTGTTGTGTTGTTGAATAGTGCTGGCGTGGCCACTACCACGACACGTGGACAGCGGTGCTGGAAGGCTCTTATCCCAGGGCTGAGTTATCTGCCTGGTGCAATGATGTCAGCGGAGTCTCGAGGCTAGCTACTCCAGGTCATGAATGTGTCCGGCTCAGAACACATGCGACCCGAACCATCGTTCTGGACATACAGTCACTGGTGTGGAGCAGAACTGGACAAGGGTCGGGGGCTCACTCCTCTTCTCCAGCTTTGTTGCCAGACTCGCTGAGATCCCGGGCAAGCTCTCTGGACCTTCCCAAAAGGAGGTCTGGGGTGGGTAAACCCAAACTGTCTCCCTCAGATCTGGCTTGCTCTGATTTTCTTTTTTGTTTTTTTTTTTTTTTTTTTTTGCAAGAGACACCTGGCAAAGAAAGAGAGAGCGAGAGAGCGAGCTCATATGGTTTCCAATCAGTTCTGGCTGGAAGGGGAACCTGGCACAAGCACCTGAACTTGAGCCTGCCATTTGCCAGTCACTGCCGGAGGGGAGTGCAATTACCGAGGTGCGCCTGACAAACTCCTGTCAGAAAGGATCGATGGCAGTCGGACAGCCAGACACTCCCGGCGACACACAGGCTCCTCGGTCCCAGTGTTTCTCTCCGTAACTTTTAAGTATTTTTCTTTTGGTCCCACACACTCCTTTCTGCTCTCACAGAAACAATTCCGCGGGAGAGAGGGGGCAGGCGTTATTTCGATTACCGCTCGCCCCTCCCCTTCCTCTACCATGGGAAACTGAATAAAATAAAGCCACAGTGCACAGTTTCCCTTTTAGGATCCAATCTCCCGCTTGAAGAGGCGCCTGCCACTTTCTAAAAAACCCGGCACGCCCTCACGTTCTAATCCAACCCAGTAGGGCTCCACCTCAAGCCACTCCGGCCTCGGGTCCTCCAAGCGCCGCCGTCGCTCTAGGCCACCGTCTCGTCGGCGAGCCCGGATCACGACTCTCTAGCCAGCTCAGCGTCTCGATGCGCTTGTGCGCGGCTTCCGGTGGCGGGACGCGGGGCCGCGCACGCGGGAAAAGCTTTTTCGGCTAACTCCCGTTCCCCGCGTCCCCGCCCCCTAGCCCCCGCATCACCCCCCTCTCAAAGTGCCCACCGTCCGCGTCGGCCCCTGGCGAAGCTGCAGCCTCAAGAGGTGGGTGGTCGTCGTCCCTGGGCCCCGCTCCCTCACCCCCGCGGGACGCTCCCCAATGGGCCGTTCCGCGATCGAATCCGCGGGCAGCGGGCGAATCCATTTTAGCGGGAGGGGAGAACCATGAGGGCCAGGATGGAACCCGGCACTCGGAGCCGGATTCGGGCGCGGGGAGGTGATGTGCGCACTCGGGGCAGGTTCAGGGGTTCAGCCTCTTGTTACCATGGCTCCCGACCGGGAGGATGGAAGTGCGGGCTGGCCCCCCGGGAGCACGGGCCGAGCCGGCCTGTGGGGTGCTCAGGCAGTGGAGAGCCTGTGATCGCCTCCCTGCTGCTCCCCGGCCGGACCCGGCTCCATCAGTGAGCAGAGTGAAGGGTTTGTCTTTCATGTCTCTGTCCTTGCATTCAGATTCGCCAGCCTGCCGACCGTCTATCTGCACGCCGACCCAGGTCTTGGGGGGCACCCCCGGCTCCCAGCTGATCGCAGTTTTCCTTTGTGAGGCCTGGGGATCTGCCCAGGCCACCGGGGGCAGGTCAACATGGCAGAGACCTTGGAGTTCAACGATGTGTATCAGGAGGTGAAAGGTTCCATGGTGAGAACGGCTTGGGTTAAGAAAAAAAGAAATGTGGAAAAAGGGAGTGAGGTACTTTATGTCCATGAACAACCACGTGCTCTGATGACGTTGCTGCTTGGTTGCCCCACCTTCCGGGCAAGGGCAGTGCTAAGAGTTGTTGGGTCTCAGAGTTGGAAGGACCTGGATTTGTTCTCCAATTCTGCATCCCTGGTGTTACCATTGGGGAAAACAGGGCTGGCAGGAGACGGGTTCAGGGTGCCAGAGCCCTAGGACCCAGGCTCTCCCGGATGATCCTCGCCACATGAGCTGCTGGATGGATGCTCTGGCCAGCCTGCGATCCCCCCATCCCCCACCAGGGTGAATGCTGGGTACGGCTGCTGCCCGGGCAGCACGTGAGACTCACTTCTCCCAACAGAATGACGGGCGGCTGAGGTTGAGCCGCCAGGGCATCATCTTCAAGAACAGCAAGACGGGCAAAGTGGACAACATCCAGGCTGGCGAATTGACGGAAGGCATCTGGCGCCGGGTGGCTCTCGGCCACGGTCTGAAGCTGCTCACCAAGAACGGCCACGTCTATAAGTATGACGGCTTCCGAGAATCGGTGAGGCACCTCAAGGCTGTGCCTTTGCGTCCGCTTTCCAGCGTCTTGGTGGAGTTGGAGTTCCTTCTCATGGCCCTGTCATTGGGCAGGGTCGTTGAGGTCCCTGAGCAACCACTGGTTCAGCTCTTGGTGTTCTGCAGTCTTAGGAGTTTTTCTTGTGAGGGGGTTATCAGATCCCCTTCCCACTTTGGCTGGAAAGGGTGGTTCCGCTTGTTGCTTGCACTTGTGTTGGGAATCAGCCCGGTACTGTTCCTTCAGGGTTGGTGCTTCCATTTTGAACTGCATGACTTACAGACTTGATTTCAAGTGTCTGCTTGTTATTAAAGCTGTGGCACACACAGGGGTTAGAAAGTCAGCACGGGGAGGCCCACACTCAGGGCTTTGAGCCTGCCCTTGCCTAAAGTCTGATTCCAGAAGTGGCCTCTCGCCACACCATTGTGGACGATTTGGAGGGTGAGCCACCATGCCAGCATGTTTTTTTTTTTTTTTTAAGATATATTTATTTATTTATTTTTATTGCAAAGTCAGGTATGTAGAGAGAAGGAGAGACAGAGAGGAAGATCTTCCGTCCGATGATTCACTCCCCAAGTGACCGCAATGGCCGGTGCTGTGCCAATCTGAAGCCAGGAGCCAGGAACCTCTTCTGGGTCTCCCACGTGGGTGCAGATTTCCAAGGCTTTGGGCCGTCCTTGACTGCTTTCCCAGGCCACAAGCAGGGAGCAGGATGGAAGTGGAGCTGCTGGGATTAGAACCAAAGCCCATATGGGATCCCGACGCTTGCAAGGCGAGGACATTAGCCAGTAGGCCATGCTGCCAGGCCCCAGCATGGGTTTTTCACAGAGGTGACATTGGGGGCAGTTTCTCAGGATGTGCGTGACTGGTTTAAGGCCACTGCCATTGACTGGGATTGCACGTTTCTCCCTTCTAAACTTCACAGGAGTTCGAGAAGCTCTCTGATTTCTTTAAAACTCATTATCGCCTGGAGTTGATGGAGAAGGACCTGTGTGTGAAGGGCTGGAACTGGGGCACCGTGAAGTTTGGTGGTGAGTTCTTGGGGAGGTGGAGCTTTGGGGAGCAGGAAGGATGAAGGGTTGAGGCCGTTCTTGCTCTCTTGCTTGCGCCCTGTCTCTGGTTTGTGCCTGGGGAGCAGGTGGTGGCAGTGTGAACTGGCAGCCGCAGGCCCCTGTCCGCAGGGCCCCTTTGGGAGGCACTGTGGCCGGACAAACCCTTTGCTCCCAGGGCAGCTCCTTTCCTTTGACATCGGCGACCAGCCGGTCTTTGAGATCCCGCTCAGCAACGTGTCCCAGTGCACCACAGGCAAGAATGAGGTGACGCTCGAGTTCCACCAGAATGACGACGCCGAGGTGTCTCTCATGGAGGTCCGCTTCTACGTCCCTCCCACGCAGGAGGATGGCGTGGACCCTGTGGAGGTGAGGGCTCCCCGGTGCAGAGGGTGCCTCCCCAGCAGGTGGGTGGGGCAGGGGATGCTGGCCCACAAGCTGTGGCCCGTGGCGCGGTTAACAGCACGTGCCTCTGCAGGCTTTTGCCCAGAACGTGCTGTCGAAGGCAGACGTGATCCAGGCCACCGGGGACGCCATCTGCATCTTCCGGGAGCTGCAGTGTCTGACGCCCCGTGGTCGTTACGACATCCGGATCTATCCCACCTTCCTGCACCTGCACGGCAAGACCTTCGACTACAAGATCCCCTACACCACGGTGCTGCGTCTCTTCTTGCTGCCCCACAAGGATCAGCGCCAGATGTTCTTTGTGGTGAGCGGGAACCTCTCCTGGGGTGGGCGACGCACGTGGCCTGAGGCCTTCAAGCTGTGCTGGTGTTTTGTGAGTCCCTGGGGGACATCGCCTTGTGCTCAGCCCTGTCTGCTCGCTTTCCCTTTCCAGATCAGCCTGGACCCTCCCATCAAGCAGGGCCAAACCCGTTACCACTTCCTGATCCTGCTCTTCTCCAAGGACGAGGACATCTCCCTGACTCTGAACATGAACGAGTGAGTGTCTCCCTGGACTCGTTGGCTACACTGCTTTTTTGCAGGCCGGAGGCAGATGTGCCCGTAGAGACCAGTGACGTCACGCCGGTGACGTCGCCCCGCTATGTTTGTAGGGAGGAGGTGGAGAAGCGCTTCGAGGGACGGCTCACCAAGAACATGTCCGGATCGCTGTACGAGATGGTCAGCCGGGTCATGAAGGCACTGGTGAACCGCAAGATCACGGTGCCAGGCAATTTCCAGGGGTGAGCGTGTGAGCCGGGGTCCTGGCCTGCCCAGCGATGGGAGGCGCTCCCTCTCACAGAGGCTCCCATCACATGTCCTCACAGTGGCTGGCATCCCTGCCAGAGCAGCCGAGTGAGGCATGCTGGGCTGAGAGGCTCTGGGTGCGCATGTGTTGCTGGCTGCCTAGTGGGCCCCTTGGTGTAGCTGAGGTTGGCACTGACCTGGCTCCCTGCCCCTTCCCCTAGGCACTCCGGGGCCCAGTGTATCACGTGCTCCTACAAGGCGAGCTCTGGACTGCTGTACCCCCTGGAGCGGGGCTTCATCTACGTGCACAAGCCCCCCGTGCACATCCGCTTTGATGAGATTTCCTTTGTCAACTTTGCTCGTGGCACCACCACCACTCGTTCCTTCGACTTTGAGATTGAGACCAAGCAGGGCACTCAGTACACGTTCAGCAGCATTGAGAGGTGAGAGATTCTGTGTGTGCGTGCACGTGTTCCAGCTTCGACTTGGAGGCCCGTGTGTGTGTGTTCCCATCTCGTGTGGCGCACGCCCGCCAGCTGAACTGTGAAGCCCGGCGTGGTCTGGGGCCCTCTTGGGCCCTCTCTGGGGCCGCGATGCTTCCTTCTGCTTCACTGAGGTTCGCTCCTCAGCTTCCGGAAGGCTCTCCGTTGCTTTCTGTCTGTCCTTTCGTCTGTGAAAGCTGTGTGTGGTTGGTGCCAGCTCTGCGTCGCCAACACTGCCTGTGATGGAAGCGCTGCCTCCTTCCCGGAATGAGCTGTGGCTGAGAACAGCAGCTAATGTTTAGAGTGCTCGTCGTGAGCTAAACGTTTTACAAACGTCTTCGTGTTTAATCCTGATAACCAGCTGCTGAAGCGTGTTGGAATGCAGGCCAGGGAAAGTGGGGAGGGCGCCCTCCCCCAGCATCCTGCCCCTGCTGTGCATGTATGTCTGGTAAACAGGGGTGCCTCCCCCTGCCTTTGCCTTCTAGAGCTCCTCTGATTTGAGCCATGCCCTGCTTCAGGGTCCACTGGCCTCGGAGGGGGCTGGCAGCTGTTGGGCCACCAGTCCAGGCTGCAGTCCAGGCCGGCTTCTTGGTATCTGACTATGGTTCAGCCCCACTCAGTGTCCTGCCCCGGCTGGCTTGTTGACATGGTGCCTCTCCCCTCACAGGGAGGAGTACGGGAAGCTGTTTGATTTTGTCAATGCAAAGAAACTCAACATCAAAAACCGAGGCTTGAAAGAGGTATTTGCGGATGGGGAGGACAGCAGGCTCCTGTTCTTTTTGTAAAGAGAAAGGGGAGACATTTTTTTTCACTCTCTCTTTGGCTTCTTTGTCACTCTGTCTTTTTTTTTCTTACCCTTGTAGAAAAAAGAGGTGCGTGTGACCCCTTCCCCTCCTGATGCAGGTTTCCTCTGCATGACCATCAGCCTGTGCAGCCCCCCAGAAGCTCCCCCGTGGGGCTGGGAGAGGGAGGGGCTTGGACTAACCCAGTCGCCAGGAAGTAGAGTCCACGGGCGCAGTAGGCCCTGCTCCTTGGCTGTGTGTGGTGTGTGTGGACAGAGCAGCCCTGGGACCTCCTGGGAGCTGCTTCTGATCTCACAGGCATGGGGGCGTGCTGTGAGTGTGCGGGGGTCCGACAGAAGGGCAGGTTGGGCCTCACGCATCACCTCTGGACAGGGCATGAACCCAAGCTATGACGAGTACGCGGACTCAGATGAAGATCAGCACGATGCCTACCTGGAGAGGATGAAGGAGGAGGGCAAGATCCGGGAGGAGAACGCCAATGACAGCAGCGATGACTCCGGAGAAGAAACCGGTGGGGTGGGCCGGCCTCTGCGCTGGGGCCGGGGCTGGGGAGCAGGCTAGACCCCAGCTGTCCTCCCTGGCGCCAGAGCCGGGGGTCTGGGTTGGAGGGGAGGGCGGGATTTTCATCAGAGCAGAAGCTCACGTGTCCTCTGTTCCTTTTTCAGATGAATCTTTCAACCCGGGTGAAGAAGAGGAAGATGTGGCAGAGGAGTGAGTTCTGGTTGTGCGTTCAGGGGGTGAGATGGGAGCTTCCCAGCTGACCAAAACCACAAGGCCTCTGTGCATTTCTCAGATCCTGGTGTTAGTCACTGCCCCAGGAGTGGGAGAGTGATCTCCAGGGAGGTGACAGGTGGCAGTGTTTTAGAATGGTGCAGGGTTTTGTAAGTGCAAGGCACATGTAGAAGCCAGAGCGGCCCATTAGGGGAGAGAAGAGAAATGAGGACTGGTGCTTCCTGTTTATTCCCTGTGGGGGTTGGTTAAGTCCTTGATTCCAGCTTCCTGCCCTAGAAATGGCAGCCGTGGCCTATGCTACTTGGTCAGGAGGGTTGCTCAGCCATGGGGACTTCTGAAAGCTCACGGAGCTGGGGAGTTTCAGGTACTGATCAATTTAGGTGCTCACAAGTTGTAGGGGGGAGATCCTTTAGTAGTTGCGTTTTCTTAGTTCTGTAGACTTGCCCCACGAGGTGGCCGGGTAGGCTTAATCGTACTGGCTTAACGCCCAGAGGGACTGCCTCTTCCAGTGGCAGCCTAGTAGCCAGCCTGATGGCCTTCCTCTTCCTGGGAGTGAGCTGAAAGGTATGCATGTGGGCTGGAGCAAAGCCACATGCCCACCCTGAGAAACTGTGGCCAGTGATGCTCTCTCAATCCAGAAGGGTTGAGAGTGAGTGTTGGATAGCAAATGCCATGCAACAGGAGCCTGCTAGTGCTTGCTGCTTGCCATCTGCTTGCAAAGGGTCCCAAGTAAGGCCTTGTGATGGTGACTTGAAGACCATCGGCAGCTTGTGGGGCAAGGTGACTGCCGCTTTCTGCAGCGAGTCACATGTATGGAGCAGGATGGGGCCGTGCTAAAGTTGATTTCCTCCACTTTTGTTAGTCTCTTCATCAGAAAACATAAGATTGTGGTGAGGTGGACTTGGAGGCAGGAGTGAGACCTGTCGTTGGGCACAGGGGCTGAAACAGGACCTGGGCCAGGCCAGGAGAAAGGAGGAGGGAGGCTGGTGGAGGCCCAGGGGCTCCTTGTTTTCCACGGAATGACTGGCGGGGGTGGTGGTGGTCCAAGCCACCTTAGCGAGGGGCCTCTGATCTTGCCCACCCCGCCCCGGCCCACTCAACCCTCCCCCCTGGCTGCTTTCTGGGCAGGCGATCTTGGATTTGTTATGCTGAGTCCAAGCCCCATTCTCTATCTGCCAGGTTTGACAGCAATGCCTCTGCCAGCTCCTCCAGCAATGAGGGAGACAGTGACCGGGATGAAAAGAAGCGGAAACAGCTCAAGAGGGCCAAGATGGCCAAGGATCGCAAGAGCCGCAAGAAGCCTGTGGAGGTGAAGGCTGCCCCACGCGGGAGGGGGTGTTGCTCCCCAGAGCCAGTGACTATGGCTTTGTGGGCTTCTTGTGGAAAGTTTTGTCTCTGGTCCTGAGATAATTAGCTTCTGCAAGATCAGAAGTAGGAGATAGGCTGGCTTCTGCTTAGGGGATGCCTGGCGAGCAGGGCCCCCTGGGTGTGGAGGAGGGGACGAAGGCATGATTTCTGCAGGCTGGCCTGGTCCTGCCCACACCCCTAAGTCACGAGGTCTGACTAACTGGGAGAACAACGGCCATAAGTAGCAAACAGATGGTTGAAGACCCCTGGGCTCTCTCCTGTGTAGGTGAAGAAGGGCAAAGACCCCAACGCCCCCAAGAGGCCCATGTCTGCATACATGCTGTGGCTCAATGCCAGCCGGGAAAAGATCAAGTCGGACCATCCCGGCATCAGCATCACAGATTTATCCAAGAAGGCGGGCGAGATCTGGAAAGGAATGTCCAAAGAGAAGAAAGAGGTGGGTGGCGGCTGAGAGCAGGAGTGGAGGGCGGGGGCAGGCAGGGACCTCTGGCCGGCCGGAGGGACTGTTGGGGTGGCAGGTCTTGTAGCAGAGGGGCCTGCGTGCCGTGATAGAGCTTCCTGTGTGGGTTTTTGCCTGCATCAGAAAGACAGTCTGTTGATTTCCCTCTGTCTCACTCGGTGTGTGAAACAGGAGTGGGACCGCAAGGCCGAGGATGCCAGGAGGGAATACGAAAAAGCCATGAAAGAGTATGAAGGGGGCCGCGGCGAGTCCTCCAGGAGGTGAGCGGCAACGAGCGGAGCGGCCCGAGACTGCCCTTTGTTTTTCCTTTTCGGGGTGAAGTTGGGAGTTGAGGTGTTGGTGGGGTTCTGACGGCATCTTGGCCATGCTTGATCCTGTGTGAGGCCGCTGCTTGAAGGGGACTGGATCCACATGGCTCATTTTCCCAGAAGGCCAGTTGTACTTGGGGATAATGGGAGTTAAAAATTGTTATGGAGAATCATGAGAAAATCACCAGAATTTTTTTTTTAAAGATTTCAGTTTTATTTGAAAGGCAGATTTAAAGAAAGGAGATATTCTACCTATTGGTTCACTCTCCAAATGGCTGCAGTGGCCAGAGCTGAGCCAATCCAAAGTCAGGAGCGTCCACTGGTCTCCCACATGAGTGCAGAGTCCCAAGTACTTGGGCCATCTTGCATCCTGCACTGCTTCCCCAGGCCATGAAGGGAGCTAGATGGGAAGTGGAGTGTCCGGGACGTGAACCAGCAGCCATGTGAGATTGGTGCTGCAGGGAGAGGCTTCGCTTCTTCTACCACAGAGCCAGCTCCGGGTTTTTAGTGATAAAGCAAGAAATGTGAAACAGGTTTGGCCTACGATGTGCCTCAGGTCGTGACTATTCTGGGGCCAACAGGGCCAGCCATTTACCTTGGGAGCCAAATGGGCAGTGTGGCTGGGATTGGGAAAGACCTGGTGAAAGCTGGGCGAGGTCTGGCCTGGGTGCGGATAGGGAGGGGCTGCCCGGAGGCTCAGCTCCCTTTGCCTCTTGCTGCTACAGAGACAAGTCAAAGAAGAAGAAGAAAGTCAAGGCCAAGATGGAAAAGAAATCTACCCCCTCTAGGAGCTCATCATCCAAGTCGTCTTCGCGGCAGCTGAGCGAGAGCTTCAAAAGCAAAGAGTTTGTGTCCAGTGACGAGAGCTCCTCGGGCGAGAACAAGAGCAAAAAGAAGAGGAGGAGGAGTGAGGTAGGGCAGGTACTGCTGGGTCGGGGAGGGCGAGGGCAGGTGAGTGTGTGTGTGTGGGGGGGACTCTGGGGGCGCAGGGAGGACCAGGGCAGCTGAGTGCTAGGTGGGGCAGGGAGGGCAAGGGCAGGTGAGTGTTGGGGGGAGACTATGGGGGCACAGGGAGAACCAGGGCAGATGAGTGCTGGGTGGGGCAGGGAGGGCAAGGGCAGGTGAGTGTTGGGGGGAGACTATGGGGGCACAGGGAGAACCAGGGCAGGTGAGTGCTGGGTGGGGCAGGGAGGGCAAGGGCAGGTGAGTGTTGGATGGGGCAGGGAGTGTGAGGGCAGGTGAGTCGGCGGGGACTATGGGGGCTCAGGGAGGGCAAGGGCAGGTGAGTTGGGGGGGCTGAGTGAGGTAGAACAGGAATGGGGACACATCAGTACTGGGGGAGTGTTTGGGTTGGAGTGAAGCGCAGTGGGTAGGAGGCACTCCAAGGTGGTAGAGGCAGCTGCCAGCCATGCAGGGGCTCCCGGTGGCTGGGCCACCGCTGTTTCCTGGAAGAGACCTCTGGTTTTCAGGACTCCGAGGAAGAGGAGGCAGCCACTACCCCGCCCAGCTCTGAGGACTCGGGGTCGGGATCCGATGAGTGAGGAGATGTCTGCTCCTGCGCTTGCCCTGCCACAGCCCCAGCGCCCCACCGGGTCTCGGTCCTAGCTCTGCTCCCGGGACTCTGCCCTGGGGAGGAGTGCTGCCTCACAGGACGGCTCCCTACAGCTGGGGGACAGACGGGGTGGGAGGCTGGCACACTGGACCCACATCCCTGTCCTGCTTTCCCTGACCTTAGGGATGTTGCTCTTTCTTGTCCTTATTAAATCGCCATAGCGGGAGTCATGGGAAGTCAGGCCCGAAGCTCCTACCTGGGGTCTGTTTCTACCTTTATTTTGTATTTCTGGTCCGAGAAAAATCAACATTTAATAAAGGGAACTGACTTTGGATGATGCCTCCTCCTGCCTTCTCCGCAGCCCCCTTGAGTCACTCCCCCTTGCCTGTTGAGTGCTCCGGGAAGCGGGTCTCCAGGTCCATGCCGCTCTGTTCCCGGATGGACCCGCGTTGGTTTTCAGCCCCTTGTGCCGGGACGGGCCACCTGAGAGGCTAGAAATGAGAGCTGATCTGATTAGGAAGTCTCTCTCACAGTTCCACTCCATTAGGCAGGCGGCTCCTGGCTCCATTGTTCATCACCTATGAGTCAAGGGCCTTCCAAGGCTCCGGCTAACACAATCAGGATCGACTCTCCTGACGGTGACTGGGGGAGTGTGGGAACCCGAGCCGGAGCCGGGGGAGGACCGGGAGTGAGTGTGTGAGTGTGTGAGTGTGTGTGTGTGTGTGTGTGTGTGTGAGAGAGAGAGTGTGAGTGTGCAGCTCTTCCGGGAACAGGGCGGAACCACACGTTAGGGCTTGAAAAAAGTTATTGCTGAGGAGGAGACGACGGGCACCCCAGGACAGGAGGGCCGCCCCTCGGCTGGGCTGGCCCCACTGAGCTGAGGCACGTGGGGCCGCCACGTCGCGTGTGTCCTCGGTGGCTGGAACAGGAAGCCGCCCGACGTGGCTCTCCTGGCTGCTGCAGCCCGCCGGGGCCGTCCTCAGGCCGCCTCCTCTCTGGGCCGTCGTCTCGGTGGCCATTTTACCCAAACGCTCCAAGCCGCTGAATTGCGTCAGTTTCGCCCCAATCTGCGCCCTGGGGCGGTCCCCTCATTTGCAAGATCATGAATAATTGAGTACTGGGCAGCGTCTGTTTGCATACGGCGGGACGGACTCGGGCGTCCCACTCGCGGGCTCCACCGGCTCATGAATATGCACGAGGCGGCCCGGGGGCGTGGCGGGGGCGGAGCCGGGGGCGTGGCCCCGCCGAGGCTGGCGCTGGCTCGGTCCCGCGGCGGCGGCGGCGGCGGCGGCGGCGGCGGAGGGGCTGGCGGGCACTGGCGTCGGGGTGCCGGCCGAGCACAGCCGGATCCTGGGGGAGCGCGTGAGTGCGCGGGACCCGGCGGGCGGGAGGGCCCCGGAGGAGGCGGGGTCCGCGATGGGGCGGGGAAGGGGCAGGGGAGGAGTGGGCGCTTTGCTACCAGGACCTGGGGTTGCGGCGGCGGCGGCGGTGGAGGTGGTGTGTGTGTGTGTGTGTGTTGGGGGGGTGTTGGGGTATCGTGAACAGGAAAGTTTGCAAGGGCTGGGGGCCCTGGGGACGCGGGGAGACGGGGGTGCTGCCGCGTGTGTGCACGCGGGCGTGGGGGGCTCCGGTCCGGAGCTCGTGCTGGAGGAGCGAGAAGAAAAAGGGGGGAGGGGGCGAGGGCTTGGGGCGGGGCTGGGGGCGGGCAGAGCTGCTGGAGGGACCCCCGCCTCCCTGTCCCCCTCGGCTCCCTCGGCACGCCCCCAGACACCCCAGTCCGCCCCCACGTAGCCGGGCCGCCGTCTGCTCGCCGGCTGCTTCTCATCCCGCGCGCGGGTCCTCGGCTGCTGCGGCCGTCGCCTCCTCCTCCTCCTCCTCCTCCTCCTCCTCCTCGCCTGCTGCCCGCCGTCCCCTCTGTGTCCAGAGCTCCCCGCAGGGCCCCTCCAGACTGCCGCTTGCCCGGGGCTGTTCTGTCTTCTCGCTGGCCCTCCCCCTTTCTGCAGTTTGCACGCTGTCCCTGCCGACCTCTGTGGCTCCGCCTGGACCTTGTGGGGTCCACACGGACGATCCCGTCTGTGCCGAGACCGCCCGGCCCCTTCCCAGCCTTCTGGCAGCCCTTGTCCCAGGGGTCGCCTGCCTCGGGAGGACTCTTTGCGGGTGTGTGGGGGGGTACTGGTCAGAGCCGCCGCTGGGCTTGCGGCTTCTGGTCAGCGGCTTGTTGTGGCCACCCCCCTCACTGGGGCGGGGGTCGAGAGCCCACCCTCAGGTGATAGGGTTTCTTTAGTTCTGGGCCAGTTGGTCGGCATTTCTTACCCACCCACACCATGTCCCTTTTAATACCGTTCAAGGACAAGGGAACAGTCTTGTGTTTGAATTTATTTTTTTCTCTCATGTGCTCCCCCCTCCCCGTGCACGCAGGCACACTGGGCTTTGCACAGTGGCTCGCCCACGGTTGGGCAGGCCTCCGTGCTGGTTGCCTGACCAACGCGTTGAGTCTCTCCGCTGTCTTTGTGGCCTCGTCCATCTTTGAAACCAGCTGGGGCAGGGGCGCAGAGGCGCAGGAGGAGGGCCTGGCGTTACAAAGGTTAGGCACCAGTTTGGGGTTTGAGGGCGTGGAGAGGTTACGTTGGCCTCACCCATCCTGTAGGGGGCCAGGATAGGCCCCCCGCCCCACCCTGCCTCTCTTTTGAAAGGATTCGGCCGGAGAGCCTGGGAGGGGGAAAGGGCGTGTTGTGGTTGGATGGGTGGTGGGAGTGCCTCAGGAGCCAGGGTGGGAAACGAGGAGGTGTCGGAGTGTTTACAAAACAGGTGACAGGCCCGGGGCCTTGGGGGAGTGAAGGAATGGTCTGGGAATGCTGGCAGCCTGGGGTTGGGCGAAGCGGTAGAGGTGGCTGCCAGGGATGGCAGCTCATTGGTGGCACTGAATGGAGTCACGGGGTGGCCAACATTTATTGGACACTTGCATGCTGGGCATAGTGTTAAGCTGTTTCCATGCGTTATTTCACTGAAGCCTCCTTTGAGTCTGAGGAACCCCACTTTTCAGACCAGGAAATTGAGGCCTGGAGAAGCTATACAGCTAGAAAGTGGGGCATACTCTCCTGGATCAGAATCCTGTGGTGTCAGATGTAGAGGGTTTTTTTTGGGGGGGACACTTGTGTGTTTGTCACTTGGTTTCATTTCTAATGCCCCCTCCCCTTAAAGCCCCTTCAGGCCGGCGAGGGATGCCCACGTGGCCACTTTCTCACAGGCGATGGCTGTCCCACCCCATTGACCTGGAAGGGGGAACCCCAGGGAGTTTTTCCCCAAGTTGCTCCACCTCCCGGATGTTCCCAAGCCCTGTCCCGCTCGCTCCCAGCCCAGCCCAGGGCCGGCTCCTCCTTCCTCTTGGCGAGGCCCTGGAAATCCAGTGGGAGGCCATTGCTATGGCAACAGGACTAGGCCCTGGCTTTACCTCATCAAATTCCAAGCTGAAGCCAAAGCGATTGAGAAATTGAAGAAAAAAAAATGTATTCCAGATGTTTACTTTTTATTCCTTATTTTTCCGTGTTTGGATGAGACAACTCCGAGGGAGAGAGGGGAGGAGGGAGGGAGGGGGGGAGCCGGGGGCAGGGATGTGGAAGAGAATGGGGAGAGAGGCTGGAGAGGAACCGCCGGCAGCTGCTGGAGGGAGGGAGAGAGGCAGGCAGTGGGGCGGAGCCCCAGGTTGGGGAGGAGCGGGTTTTTCCCGTCTCCCGGTGAGGTGATTCACGGAGAGACTTCAGACTCCTGCGACCTACTGCTCTGCCTGTCAGAGATCCCGTCCACGGGGCTCCCTGCCCGACGACAGGGGTGCCCTGGGAGCTGTGAGTGGGGTGTCCTGGGGAGCTGGTCAGAGGCGGCGACTCCCTGGAGCCCCAGGACGGGGTTAGGAGAGCAGTGTTGGAGAGGGTGTGGGAAGAGTTGGGGCCACGCCTGCTGGGGACCTCCCTGGCCTTTGCTGTCCGCCTCCTCCTGAAGTTCTCTCTTCCTGTCCCACACTCTGCTGGAACCAAGAGAACCCCCGACTCCCGCCCCTGGGCTGAACCTGCCTGCTGCCCACGCTCTTTCCTTCCCTGCCCCGTGTGTCTCTCTCTTGAGTCTCGAGCCAAGTGCCTGCCGCTCACTGCACTCCGCTTCCCGATTTTCAAGCAGGATCTGCCGCATGTGATGGAAGTGTCTACTCTCAGGGAAAGCTTAACCATGGCTTCCCCACCGCCCCGGGAGATGGAGGAGGAGCTGGTGCCCGCGGGCTCCGAGCCAGGTACCCATGGGTGCAGGGTGGAGCTGATGGCTAAGAGGAGGGCGGGAAGGGCACAGGCTGCACCCCCATTCTGTTCTGGGGGTTAGTTGAAATGAAGTGTGTTCAGGTGGGTGTGAGGGAGGGCACGGATACTAGCAAGTGCAGGATGGGGCTGGAAAGACCCTCCGGCCTGTGGAAATTGTAGCTCTCCAGCAGGTCTTAGGCAGACGGGACCCCAGGCATAATGGGACTCAAGTAGTGTGTTTTGCAGGTGGGAGTGGACGGCGGAACCCTGAGGTCCGGGCACTGACTTGGAGCGTACCTAGCAGGGTTTATACCTAGGCTTCCTGCTCGGCTCTGTGGTTCTAGACTTTTCCCCTGCTTTAGCCAGATGAGTGGGGAGAGGATTCTGTGAGCGAGCCGTGGTGCCCGCTGTCGTTTATAGGGCATTGGAGTGCCTTATATAGAAGGGACATTTCTGGTCTCACTTTTAATTTTTTTTATCCCCCTCTGTAGCAGCTTTACTTTTGTTTGGCTTAGGTCAATAGTAAGTTTGCATTCCCTGGTCACACACCGGATGACAGTGGGGAGGTGCCCTGGGTGTAGGTGGTGGGGGGGGGGAGGGGGCAGCTGGGAGGCCTGGTGGGGAAATACAGCTGGGGTGAAAAGTCTGCCGGGGGTGACAGGGCGGGTGTGAGGTGGGAGAGGACTCCATTGGGAAGATGGTGGGCTGATGACCTGGACACGGAGCCATCATGTATTGGTTCTCACTCACTCATTCGTTCACGTGTCTGATTAGAACTTGTGCAAAATACTGTACGGGAGAAATGTGGTGCCAGCAGACCCTTATATAGCTTTGCTTTAGAAGGGGAGAGCTGACGGAATGCTTATGGGGTTTGCAGGAAAGAGAATCTGCTTCTGGAATGTATGTGGAAAATCAAGGGAGCCTTCCTGGAAGAGATGGCATTTGACTGTGCCTATAAGAGCATATATCTTCTGAACTTGGAGGGTGGGTGATGAGGGCAGAATAAGAAACCTAAGAACTTTAGCTTCCTGGTTCTTCTGACAACCTCCACTCCCTCCCCTTTGCTTTTGTAGGTGACCCTCGGGCCAAACCCCCTGTGAAACCTAAACCCAGGGCTCTGCCTGCCAAGCCAGCCCTACCCGCCAAACCCAGCCTCCTGGTGCCTGTTGGGCCTCGTCCCCCCCGGGGGCCCCTGGCCGAGCTGCCTTCCGCCCGGAAGATAAACATGCTAGCAGGACCCCAACCCTATGGGGGCAGCAAGCGTCCCCTGCCCTTCGCCTCGAAGCCTGCGACCAAGGCCTCTGCCGGAGGAGAATCTGCTCAAGAGCCTGGCAAAGAAGAGGCTGGGAAAGAGGGCCTGCCCCCGCTGACACCCCCGGCTCGCTGTGCCGCCCCGGGGGGCGTGCGCAAGGCTCCGGCTCCCTTCCGCCCAGCGTCTGAGCGCTTTGCGGCCACCACGGTGGAAGAGATCTTGGCCAAGATGGAGCAGCCCCGAAAGGAGGTGCCCGCTAGCCCTGACCGCCTCTGGGGCTCCCGCCTCACCTTTAACCATGACGGGAGCTCACGGTACGGCCTCAGGACCTATGGTGCGGCCAACAGTCCCAGGGAAGAAGATGGCAGGGCCCCGGCCAGGGAATGGCCACAGGAGAGGCCAGCTAAGTCTCCAACAGAATGCCTGGAACAGCACTCCAGGACCTCGGAGGAGAGGTGAGGGATTGGGGTGGCAACTGGGGGGTATATTTTGTTGTACCTTGGTGGTCTTCAGGCCCTAAGCACCAAGTGGGTGGCCCTGTGTGCGGCCATGGCCTTTATTTTTTCTTGTGAATGCAGACAGACATAGATAGACAGAATGCCTGTGCTGGCATTCGGTGCCGTCATGGCTGCGTGCTATGGAAGCACTGTCCTTTCACTGAATTGTTGCAGAGTTCAAACACAGAGGGTCCTTATTTTTTGTGTACTGAGAACTGAGCAGCAAACCTTGCCTCCTGGTGAAGGCAATATTAGATCCATTTTACAGATGAGGAAACTGAGACTCAAAAATGACTGCACACGGCCTGGAGGGGAGATCTGATTATAAGGTTTGAAGATTAGAGTGTCTTGGGGAACATTGTGTGTGTATGTGTGTGTGTGTCGGGCTCCGTGGGGCATAACCCTCGGAGGAGGGGCTCTGATGGGAGAGAAGACCGGAGCACACCACGATTCTGGGCCAGCTGGTGTCTGCGCAGAGATCACAGGCCATTTGAGACATTTGCATATGATCCATTTCCCTAGAGTCTGCATTGGAGCCAAGGGCAGGCTGGCCAGGGGAGGAGGAGGAGGCTGCAGGATCGCGGGAACCTTCCCCTGCGCCAGGGCCTCAGGGCAGGGCGAGCCAGCTGCAGGCCTGGCTGCTCTGAAGGCTGCTGGGCTCTGGCTGGGAGGAAGCTGAAGGTCCCTGCTGGCCCTGCCCAGCCCTGCCCTCTAGCCTTGCCCTTCTTTCACCTGAAGGCACCTGGAGACCCACAGGACCCTGGGGTTAACCCTTGGTGTGCTGTGAGCCCGGCAGGCTGAGTTTGGCTCCTCACCCTCCACCCCTTCCTGACAGCTTCAGCCTTGGAAAGCCACCCTTCTCCTTCCCTCCCCGCCTCCATCGCCCAAGAAGTGTTGGCAGGGCAGTCGGGACCAGCTGCAGTCTCCCTCCCAGGCTGGAGGAGAACTTTAACCCTGCTGGGGTAGAGGAAGGAGGTTTTATCTTCTGGGCGTACAGAGGGAACTGGGAGGCTTAACCCGTTACATACGGATGGGGTGTCTGCACGGTCTCCTGGGGCTCTTGCCGAGTGGAAGCCACAGTCTCTTTGCCCATGCAGTGGCTGTCTAGGGTAAATGCCCAGGGATGTGAACCCCACTGGAGATTGTCAGATGTCTGTAGGGAGGCTGTCGCCCCTACCGTGTGACAGCCTTCCACATTTATGCTTTCCGATTTTCTTTCTCTCCCACAGGAGCTCCCCTTGTGACACTGTGGCCGTTAATGGGGACCTGGCTAAGCCGGCCAGCTCTGAGCCACCTGCTAACGTGAGTTCCCTGCAGTGACGGGTTAGGACCATGGTGTTTTAAGGTGGCAGGGGTCAGTGGAGCAGCGTGGGTTCAGCCTCCCGTAGTTCATGTAGGGACACCAAGGAGGGAGGACTTGCCCAGGGCCTGGCTCCTGGAAACAGGTTCCTGGGCTCTGAGGCTGGTGCTTTGGGTTACCAAGGGAACTACCTGTGGTCAAGCTGTGATCACACAGTCCCCAGGCCTGGGGTCACTATTGATGCACCTACTGTGTACTGGGTGTGCCCCAGGAGTGCTGGCCCACTTACTCCTCACAGTAACTCTGGCTGGTGGACCCTGTGAGTTCCATGTGAGGGACGACAGTGCCAGGGCTTGCGATGGTTGAGTGCTACACTCGGGCCAAGGCGGGGACTGAAGTGTCTGCTGCCAGTGCCCTCCCTGCCTGGGCTGCCTTCTCTGGGTCCTGAAGAGGAAAGAGACCTTGTCTTGGGGGTTCTTTCTTTAACTCAGCACCTCTCGCCTTTAGCACCTGCTTGCCTGAGTAGACACTGTAAACCGGGGCCCTTCTTACTCAGCGCCACTGTGCGCACACTCCATTTAGTTGTGCATCCAGCAAATATTTACTGGTACCCACAATGAGCCAGGTGGTGGAGAAAGAGCAGCGTAGAAGGCATACACAGAGGGCAAGTCCCTGTAAGCCCATCTGGTCTGTAGGGTTCTGGCACAGTGGGAAAGCTTCAAGGGGGTGAGAGGACTGAGCCCAGGTGGCAGGGGCCTCTCATGCCCCAACTTTGCATAGATGGTGTGCAGGGGACAGCATTCTTGGCAGAAGGCACTGCGTGTGCAATGGTCTGGGTGCCTTCCAGAAGCCCAGGAGGCCTGGATGGCCATGAGAGAGGTGGAGGAGGATGCAGAGGTGAGGGGTTTGGGATTGCGTGGAGACCTGCGTGGGTTTGGCCTCGAGGAGGAGAAGAAGCCACCGAGGGCTGTGGATTCGAGGAGTGTCTTGCTGCTAACCTGGGTGTAAGGAGTCGCTTTGCCTGCTGGGCTGAGAGCTGGTCATGAGGAGGAAAGACCAGCCACAAGGATCAGTGAGAGGATTCCCGGATAATCTGGGTGGCAGGTGGTGAAAGCTTGGACCCTGGAGACTGCCTGGGATAGGGACGCTGAGACGTGATAGATTCTGGATAGAATTCAAAGGTGAGCTGGGCCAGACTTTCAGATCAGTTGGTACCAGCACAGAGGATACAGAGCCCAAAGAAGCTTCCAGGGCTTTGGGCTGAGCAACTGGGAGGATGAGATGGCCGTTTACGGAGACGGGGACTTCTGAGGGGGAGACAGCATTGCGAAGACAGGAAGAGTTTGCTCTGGCTTTGTTGAGTTTCAGATGCTTTAAAAAAAATGTTTATTTTCATCTGCTTGGACGGCAGCATGACAGAAATAGGGGGAGAGAGAGAAAGCTTCCACCTGTTTATTTTCCACATGGCTGCCACAGCTAGGACTGGGCCAGGCCAAAGTCAGGAGTCAGGGACTCCATCCAGGTCTCCCACGTGGGTGGCAGGGGCCCAAGCACTTGAGATATTATGTGCTGCCTTCTGGGATGCATTAGCAGGAAGCTGGATTGGAAGTGGAGCAGACAAGCACTTAGATGGGCACTGTAATATGGGTTGTAGGCATTCCAAGCTGTGACTTCACACGCTGCACTACAATGCCTACCTTGAGGGTTTTTTTTAGCTATTTATTTTTAACTAATTAACTCATTATATATAGAGCTCTCTGCTTGCTGGCTTGCTTTCCAAAGGCCCACAATGTTGGGATTGGTCCAGGCTGAAGCTAGGAACTCCAGCCAAGTCTTCCACATGGGTGGCAGGAACCTGGTTACTGGAGCCATCACCTACTGCCTCCTGGGATGTGCACTACCAGTTGGATAGTCAAATCAGCATTCAGATAAAGTCAGGTAGGGAGAAAAATGAGGACCTGTTCGTGTTGGGATGATGGTGGAGGGCTGGAGGCAAGAGGCCCGAGGCATAGCCGGAGAGTCTGGGCAATAGCCAGAACTGAGATGGGAGGAGAGGCTGGCTCTGTCAGGACTGACTGCCCCCAGCACCAAAGGAGGTTGTGGGTCTGTTTGCTGTGGGGTGTCACTGACGTGGGATGCCGCTCTCAGGTCATCCAGGGTGAGCACTGGATTTGGCTTCAGGGAGATTCTGGGTGACCTTGACAGGAGTAGGTAGGCAGGAGGCAAGGAAGAGGCTTGTTTGGACTGGGCTCAAAAGAAAATGGGACAGAGGAACTGCAGGTCGTGCTTGCAGACGATGCGCGCAAGGCAGAGAGTGGTGGCTCTAGAGAGATCTGGGGTCAAGAGTGATTGTCTTGATGCTGTTTTCTGAAGGCAGAAGAATGGAGAGCAGTTGGCGTGCTGATGGAAAGGATCCAGTAGCGAGGGAAAAGCCAGTGAAGCAGGAGAGAGAGGAGAGATGAGGAGCTGGCCCTAGCCACGAGCAAGGACAGTGCCTGGTGATGGGAGGGGGCAGGACTTTGGGCTCACCTGCACATGGCAGGGAGTGCTCTTGGAGAAGCACACCCAAGGCCATCGGTGGTGGAGAGAGGGAGGGGAGGAGGTGTTGGAGCTGGAGGGAAGATGTGGACGTGTTGCCTGGGAGAGTCGGGGAGCAGATGGAAGTGGGAAGTACATTTTAGGATTTTAGGAGGCAGCTCTGGGCCGGGTTTGAGTCAGTGGTGAATATCAAGTGAGGTTATGGCTGCGTGTTTCTCCGCAGCCTCATTCTGTTGCTCGGGTGGGGCTGGGCTTGGTGGAGAGCTGAGCAGTGTGGGGAAGGGAGCGAGGGTCGTGTTCAAAGAGGTAGAAAGAGAAACAAGGAGAGGAATGGGAAAGATGAGCTGTAAGTAGGGTCGGCAGCCTGCGCTTCCGAGAAGAGTTGAGGAACCAGGAATTGGAATAAGGATGAGCTTTGGGGCTAGTGTAATGTCGCAGGCTGGAATGTTTGCACGTCTGAGTTCCTGGTTGGCGTGTGGGGCTAGTTTGGGACTAGTTTGTACTTCTGATCCAACTTCCCACCAATATACCTTGGGAGGCAGTGCACCACGGCCGATACTTACCTACGTGGGAGACCCCGATGGAGTTTCTGGCTCCTGGCTTCAGGCTGTTGATTTGAGGAATCAACCAAAGAGGGAAGATCTCTCTCTCTCTCTCTTTTTTTTTTCTTTCTGTCTCCTATTATTTCAAATGAATAAATACACCTTTGAAACAATCGCAGACAAGAGTGAGCCGGGCAGAGAGGGATAGAGATGGATGAGACAATAGGAGGGTGGCATTGTGGAGGGCTGCTGGGCAAAAGTAGGGGAGCGGTCTGGGGTCTTGCAGGCGGGTCCTGGAGTCACTGGGGACTGAAGAAAAGGGGTTCTAGCCCAGGGAGCCGAGCTGTTGGGAGGCTTGACTCAGGCCGTGGAAATTGCAGTGAGCTAGAGGAAGGCGGCTTGGGGGCACCGTAGCAGGGAAGGGCTAAGCTCTGAACACTGGAATATTTTCGAGAAGAGGGAAGCTGGTGGGACCTGGAGGGACCCTTACCTCTGTCCAGACCTGCTGAGGCCAGGGGAGTTTGACCTCTGACGAGCCCAAAGGTCAGATGGAGCCAGTTAGACTCATTTTGTTGTCTGGGGACCCGCACAACCTGCCCAGGCAGGGCCAGGGGGTGGGAGGCTTGGTATCCCCTCCTCTAGCTTCTGATCCAGCCATTATCTTCCTGCTGTCCCATCGCAGCCCTTCAGTTCTCTCTACCCACCCCAGGGCGGCATGAATCTCAGTCCTTGCCTGTCCTACTGCGACATGGACATTGTGGCCCATCAGCCCCATTGCACGCAAAGGGCAGAGGGAGTGCTGGCCCTGGAGGTCATGGTCACACCCCAGCTCACTTTGCCGGAATTCCACAGCCTTGCCGCTTTTCTCAGAAGTCTTGGGACCTGGGAATCCACAGGGCAGTGGGGTGAATTGCCAAGCCTGGTGCTTCCCTGGAGCTGTGCTGGCCGTAGGGTCCTCTTATTCACTGATTGCCCAGATGGTCAGACCCCGGGTTCATTCTTTACTGTGTCAAGCAAATGTTCTTGACCCATGACTCGTGCCTGGCTGGGGGCTCCTTAGGTATACTTTAGACAGGCGGTGGCTCTAGCCAGCTGAAATGGTGTGAGTGAGGCTGAGTGGACAAGGCCCAAGGGACAGCTCCGTGACCCCAGGATGTTGGAGAAGCCCTTCCTTCCTGGGGTCATTCCAGGGCCTCTTCCTGCCGTCCTGAGCTCTGGTTTCCTCCTCCCCTCTTGGGAGTGAGAGCCTGAAGGAGCAGCCAGTCTGGGCCTTTCTGGGGACAGAGGGGCCTCCCTCACCCAGCTGAGAGAGGAGTAACAGTGCTTGACTTTTCTTTTGCAGGTCTCCAAGCCCTGGGACCCCTCAAGTCCAGGCCCTGCCACAGAGTCTGGAGGCCCTGCCAGCCTGGGCCTCTCTTCCCCGGCCTCTGCCCGGGAGGCTGCTCAGCCTCACTCCCCGTGCCACACTCAGCTGCTAGAAGGCCAGAGCCCTGTAGCTCCCCACTCTCCCCCCAGCATCCCTGAAACTCCAGCTTCCCCACAGGCAGCCATCCCTAATGAGAGCCCCTGTCATAGCCCTAGCCCAGGGCACCCTGCTGAGCCTGCCCCAGAGGCCCCAGCACCCAGCAGCCCTCCCCTTGGGAGCCCTAAGGCGCCCCTACCCGGCTCCCCCCAGCACCCCACCGAGGAGGGGCATGGGCTTCTGGATCCCACTCCGATGTTCCCACGTGGAGAGGAGGCAATGGCCAAGAGTGACCCTGAACCCCGCCCCATTAGCCTTGTCCAACGCCGATTCTCTGAAGGGGTACTCCAGCCACCTGGCGGCCAGGACCAGGAGAAGCTGGGGGGCTCACTGGCTGCACTGCCACAAGGCCAGGGGAGCCAGTCAGCTCTCGATCGTCCGTTTGGGAGTGGGACAGAGTCCAACTGGAGCTTGTCGCAGTCCTTCGAATGGACATTCCCCATGCGACCCTCGGGTCTAGGGGTGTGGCGGCTGGACTCCCCACCCCCCTCCCCCATCACCGAAGCCAGTGAGGCCGCTGAGGCTGCAGAGGCTGGCACCTGGGCTGGGGCCAGCAGGGAGGAAGGGGTGACCCAGCAGGGGCATGGGGCCGGGTCAGCTCCTGGGACTGCAGGAAGGCCTGCTTCTTGGGTTCAAGGGGATGACCCAGGCATTTCCCTGCCTCTGAAAGGCAATGGGGAGAGTCAGTCTCAATACCCATTTGCTTCCTCGGAACCCCAACTTCCAAGCAGGGACTCCCCTGAACCAGCCTTGCTCCAGGCAGAGGAGCGTTATCAGGAACGAGAGCCAATGACCGGACAGGAGTGTCCCCTCCCGCTGGCCACCAGGGAGGCAGCCCTGCCTGTGCTGGAGCCAGTTCTAGGGCAGCAGCAGCCGGCACCCCCCCATCAGCCCTGCGTCCTCTTTGCTGATGGCCCTGACCCTGGGCAGGCGATACCTGCCAAGGAGGAGACGGTGACCCTCGCCCGGGCCGAAACCACCCAGCCCAGGACAGAGGTGCCTGATCCCTGTCGAGTGTCCCCGGAGCCCACTGGGCCTGAAGGCAGCTCTCGCTGGCTAGATGACCTCCTGGCATCACCACCGCCCAGTGCTGGCAGTGCGAGGCGGGGAGCTGGAGCTGAGCCGAAGGACGCCCCGTCAAGTACCAGCTCCGAGGTGAGGATGGGGACAGGGGAGGTGAGACCTGGGCACAGAGTTGGCGAAGGTGGCAGAGTTGTACAAGACCATGTTTTAGTGCAAGTTTAAGTCGCAACACCTATGTTCTTGGAGCGTCCCTCAACCTCCTTGCTTCTGCTTCCTTTCACAGTAGTAGCGTTTGCCTCTTAGATTTGTGTTGTAGGTCAGAGACAGGAAGGGCACTTGGTACAAAATGTGGCCCAAGTGTTCATTCCATCATTACCAAGGATGTGTGAGACCAAATAGTGTAGCCGTTCTGAGCGTGGGCTCTGAGACCGCACTGCCTGGGTTTATCTCCTGGCTCTGCTGTTTCTTTGCCCAATACCTGGAATAGGTTGATTGTCTGCTCTCTGCCTCAGTTGTCACATTCTGAGAAATGGAAATAGCAGGTGAAATGTAGCAGAGAGTGAATGAGGGGTAAAGTAGTGAGGGTGGCGTGGGGCTCATTACAGGTGTGCGCTGTTGGTTTTTACCGACTTTAGTGCCGGTGGAGCTCAAGGCTTGCCCTGTAGACTGGCAGCTGACGCTCAGAGGAGGCAGCAAGTCAGGCCGGTCACTGGGCCTGGGCCAGCACAGCAGTTCCCAACCCGGTGCCCTTTCTCCTACTGGGCTTCTTCTGAATTTAAGGGCTAGGAGCCCCTGTATTCTTCTGAAATCTACTTTTCAAGCCTGCCCTAGGCTGGGGGAGAGAGAAGGAGAAGACTGGGGTGGGGGGGTGGCTCTGGTGGTGGGGAAGGAGAGGAGCAGGAAGGGGTTAAGACCAGACTGACTCTTGCAGTGGGTGTGTCTGTCCCGGGATGTGGGTGACTCAACCGGCTTCTGGGCGGGGTTGCCAGAGCCGCAGCTGCTCCCGGAGGGAGCAGGAGTGGAGCTGAGTGGAGAGAGTGGGGCTGGGGCAAGCAAGAGAGCCAGAAGCCAGAGCCGTCAGACAGGTCTGGGCTAGGGAGCTGGGGGAGCAGCCTAGCCCCATCCTGGTGCCTGCCTGCCTGCCTGCCTGCCTGCCTGCCGCACCCAGCAGCCTCGGGCGATCTGGGGGGCAGGGGCCATGTCCGGGGCTGGGGACGCGGAGGAGGCTAGTTTGTCTGTGCTGGAGCGCCTGTTGGCCAACGCAGCTCTGCGAGATGAAGCTGGCCGGCTGCGTGCCCCTGAGCCCCCTGCCCGCAAGCCCTCCGGGGTGAGTCAGGGAGAGGTGGTGGGGGGAAGGGGAGCCCCTTACCTTGCCAGGGTGTTGCCTCTCCTCTCTCCCTCTCTCCCGCAGGCAAAATGAAAGCTCAGAGATCTTCCGGGGAGAGGACTGGGCAGAGGGCACTCGCTGGCGGGAAGGGCCTGGGTCCTCGCCCGCTGCCTGACGTAGGGACCTTGTCTTGTGGGACCTTACTTTGGAGAGAAGCTTGTGGAGGGGCTTTGAGGCTTGACCCCTCTCAGTTGGAAGCGGGCTGCTTCTCCCTGCTCCCCTCCGCATGGAGACCCCCTCCTCCAGGCAGACTTTCTTCTGGCCCTTAGCCAGGTGTTGCCCAAGGGCTGTAAACATGACCATGGGACCATCGATTGAGTGCCCATTTTGTGCTAGGCCACTACGCTGAGTGCTTGGTTTCACTGATCTTGCTTGGTTAAGCAGCTTCTTGCAGTAGGAATCATGCCTACCTAGGGAGGAAACTCCTGAGGCTCAGAGAGGTGAATTCATTTGCTCAAGGTCACACAGCTGGAGCCAAACTCAGGCTTTCTGTTGCCAGAGCGGGGGCTCTCAGGCGCTGGGCAGCTGTAACAGATGGGCTCCCACCCCGACTGACTCCAGCATTGATTCTTCTTGTGTCTCCCTCCGCCCACTTTGATTTCCCAGGGACTCCTTGGCTGGGCCCAGAAAGATCTGCAGAGTGAGTTTGGGATTACAGCCGACACACGTGCCACAGACCTCAATAGCTCCAGCTGGTCCCAGGATACTGCCCAGGAGTACAGCTTGGGGAGTGCAAACCCCAGAGGAAACCCAGGCCTTGGAGAGAAGAATTGGAGCAGCGAGTATGGGCAAGGAACAGGGGAAGGGCATGCCAGGGAGTGGGCCAGCAGGTGTGTTGGCATCAGCCCGGAGGAGATGGAGGTCGGCGGCGGCCGAGATGGGAGTGAGGTGTCTGCCCCGGGGGGCTTTGGGAAGCCAGCCTTGCTGAGCACAACGGCGCAGAGTCCCGAGGAGGGCGTTCCGCACTGGGAGTTCAGAAAGAGCGATTCCCAGGGCACCTACTCCAGCCACGACGCTGAGCTCCAGGACCAGGAATTCGAGAAGAGAGATGGGCTGGGTGCCTACAGCCATCGCGATGTGAACCTTCAGGACTGGGAGTTTGGGAAGAGGGATTCTTTGGGCCCTTATGGCAGCCAGGAGGCAGGCAAGCAGGAAGGAGGGAGGAAGGACCCCCTGGGCAGCTACAGCAGACAGGATGCTGAGGAGCAGGATCGTGAATTCCAGAAGAGGGATTCCTTGCCTGGCACCTATAGCAGCCGGGCAGCTGCGCAGCATGACAGGGAGTTTGGGACAAGTGCTTGGCTGAGCGACTACAGCAGTGAGAGCGGCTCCAGGGCCCCGAGTGCCCAGGACAGAGGCTTTGCACTGAGAACCCTGAGCTCCGGATTCAGTCCCGAAGAAGCCCAGCAGCAGGATGAAGAGTTTGAGAAGAAGCTGCCGGGTGGTGAGGCTGGCAGGGATACAGGCCGGCCAGAAGAGAGCAAGTCGGGAGGTCTGTTCAACCCCATCACCCCTCAGCGGCAGGATGGGGGGACACTGACACAGGGAGACCAGAGCGGCTGGCAAGGCAGTGACAGCAGCCAGGAGGTTGGAAGGCTGCAAGGGAGACTACAGGCAGGTGGCCAGGGCCCTGGTGATGCTGACCTGACTGCCGGTGGCGGCGAGGTAGGGAAGCGAGGCTGGGCCGGTGAGGCCCCCGAGATGGAGTCAGGGTTTAGCCCTGGGCAGCGAAACTGGGACAGGGACTTTTGCGCTGAGGCCGCCGGGAGAGGTGATCAGTTTGGTATCATTGGCAACGACAGGGCGAGTGGTGCTGGCCAGAGCCCTGCCAGCCAAATGGAAGGGGGTCACCCTGTGTCTCCTGGGAAGACCACAGCCGGGCCCGTGGACTGGACTGACCAGCTGGGTCTCAGGAATTTGGAAGTATCCAGCTGTGTGGGTCCTGGGGACTTGAGTGAGACTCAAGAGGATGCTGTGGGACAGATGGGCTGGTCAGACACCCTGCCCTTGAGAGATGTGGGCCTGGCCGGCGCTTTGGAGACTGGAGGGCCTGAAGAGCCCAGAGGCCTTAGAACTGGGGAGAAGGACTGGACCTCTGACGTAGGGGTGAGGAGCAGAGATGTGGCTGGGGCAGGGGAGCTGGGAGGCCACAGCCAAACCAGAGAGAGTGGTGTAGGTCAAACTGACTGGTCGGGTACGGATGCCGGAGAGTTCTTGAAATCCCGGGAGAGCGGAGTGGGACAGGCCGACTGGACAGCTGACTTCGGACTGAGAAACATGGCCCCAGGGGCAGGCTGCAGCCCTGCAGAGCCCAGGGAGCGCGGCGTGGGCCAGATGGACTGGGGCAATGACCTGGGCCTGAGGAATCTGCAGGTGCCCTGTGAGCTGGAAGCCAGGGGCTCTCGGGGCTGCGCAGTGGGGCAGATGGACTGGGCCCAGGACTTAGGGCTCCAGGATGTGCAGCTCTCTGGGCCCCTGAGTGAAGCCAGGGAGCGTGGGGTGGGAGATGTGGGCCCAGGCCTGGAACTGGGCCTTGGGAATAATGGTGGCTTGTCCCCTGGCCCTGAAGCCAGTGAGGCCGGCGAGGCCTTGGAGATCCGGGAGCTGGGGGTCGGTGAGACAAGTGGGTCTGAGAGCCAGCAGGAAGACAGCACCTCACCTTCCCTGGAGACCCACCTGGAAGATCCCAGGATGGAGACGGGAGATGCCTCCAGCTCTGGAGCCAGGTAAGGGAGCCCTGTGGTGAGGTGGGAATGGGGTAGGAGGAGGTGTCAGGCTGTCTGCGGAAAAAGCAGGCCCTCTTCACTGGGGCAGAGAGGCAGTGTTGGTTTCCCAAGGACTTTGTTTACGAGATGGAGACACTTTGGACTGTCAATATTCGGTTCAGTTTTTTGGAATTGGATACCAGACAGGAGAGGGTGAAGTATTTACTCTTTCACAACCCGTGCCTAGGGCTGCCTTGGTGCTTTTGCTTCATGCGGGGGGAACAGTATCTGCTGCATCTTGGCTTGGTTTCTGGGAGGTGCCACCTGTGGGCACTCTAAGGCTGTTTCCCAGGCCTCCTGTCCCTGAGACCATAGGGGTTCCTGGGCAGGCGGTGTGGGTGCTTGTCAGGAACATGGCAAGGAAGAATCCATGTGTTCCTGGCCTGGGCCCAGAGCAGAGTGAATGGTGGCATTCTTTGATGCTGGTAGGTTAGGAACTTGGAGCTTCTTGCTTACTGGTGTCATAGAGCAGCACAGAGCACCTGAAGGGTGTGGGGGCCTGGCTCCTGGCCCCGTGACCTTGACCTCCGTAAGCCAAGTACTGAAAGAGTACTTTGCTAGAGAACAGACTGGTAATTTCCAGGATAGGCCTGGTTCATGAATGACCTAAAACGTGACTGGATGGCTCTGCATGGGGCTGCATCGATTTCATTAACATTCCCACCCGTTGGGATCTGGCTTTGCTCTGTTTAGTGGATAGGGAACATTAACATTTCCAGCCAATGGAGCTTCTCATTGGGCTTGGGCAGTGAGGGCATTCATGGGTAGGGGATTGGAGAGCAGGGGCTGGAGTGCTTCCTTGATGGGGCTGCAGGATTGGGCGATGGCATTTTAGGGTGGAGGAAAAGGAGGGAGAATATGGGACTGGCCATGTGCTGGGGGGGACGGGTGGCGCTGGAGAAGCGGGCTTTCTGGAGATCAGACCAGGGAGGAGGCCTTCAGGGAAGGGAGGAATGCACAGGACCACGTGTTAGGGGTCCTGGCATCCTGCAGGAGCCGCCAGACCTGCTGAGCATCTTTCTGAATGTTACTCCTGGGATGCCCAGGGTTCTCACTTCACCATCGCTAGTGCAAGACTGAGGGTCAGGCCGTGTGAGCTCTTGTCTCCACCAGATCCTAAAGCGCTCAGGTCCTCCCAGCCATGTGCCTGTGACCAATGTTGACAGGACCTGTGCCCTGGACTGAGTGAGCTGTGATGCCACAAACGTGAGCCTCACTTTCTTGCCCGCTCCGAAGCGGAGAGGAGGAGGCAGTTGGTTTGGAGGGGCCAGTTTGCGTCTTGTGTCTGCAGGCTGCCTTTTCTGAGCTGTGTTCTAAAGCATCCCAGTCCGTGAGTGTTTGGAAAACAGCGCTTGCTCTGGCTGCGCCAGGTCTAGGGCACATACTGTTGGCATGGACGTTGAGCCCTTGGGATGAGGGCTGCAGTCTTTGCCACACTTGGAACGATGGCATGGAGCTGGTGTTCCGAGTGTGGAGTTTTGGAGGTTCTCCTTACAAGGCTCTGCACCTGCCGGCGGCCGGGTTTGCCTGATTCTTTCACCACCTCTGTGACCTAGGTCAAGTTCCTTCCCTGAGGGCCTTCAGTTCCCAACCTGTAAATTGGAAGTACTTTGCTGCTAGTACCTGAGTTGGTCTAGTGTTAGTACTTGCATCGTGGTAGGCTGGCCTGGTGTGTGTGATAACCCCTGGTTTGCATTAATTGTGCAAGTTTAGGTGTGAGGTCCATAAAGCAGGCCCCTGGGGACATTCTTGTGATTGTCCCCATAATACACAAAGGTGTGTCTAATGATAGCTGTTGCCTTGCAGCCCTGTCTGCTGCAGCAATGAGACCATGTGGAGGTGAAGGGATTGGGAGTGGGGCAAGCGCTGGGAGACCTCTGGGTCTGGGGCTGCCTCGTCCTTGTCACGCTTGTGCTCCTGGGTCTTTGCTGGAGCGAGGGCACTCACTGTCCCCTGCTTGCCTGGTCATCTCCTGCCCCTGGCCTGGACCCCGGCTTTGCAGTCACACTGCATTTTCTAACGCTCTCTTGTTCTCCAGCCTCATTCCTCCTGCCCCTTTCACCCTCACCCCTCTAAGAACCTACCAGACTCCCACCACTGACCTCTACCCATGTGGGTCAGAGGCAAGTTTGGACCTGGGAGTGGATCTTCCCACCCATCCTGGGCCGTTTCATATCCTCTTAGCTGCAGGGCCTGCCCACAGTCTCTGCTGCGCCCCACCCCAGGGAGAGGCTCTGGGCCTCGTGTCCTCACTCTTCCCTGCCTTCCCAAGCCTCCTTGACTTTAAGCTGCCTGTCAGGCTGAGCTGGTCTTGGCCCCCAGCCAGGGTTGCTGGTCTGCCACTGCCTTGCTATGCTGCTGTCTCCTCCCCTCCCCTTCTCCTTCCTCCTCCCTCTTCCCAGCTTGCTTTAATTTCCATCTGTCAGCAGCTTGGGGAAGGACAGACTGACATGTTCCCTGCCCCCTCTTCCTGTTCTAGACTGACTCACCTGCCTCATTCTCCTCCCCCGCCAATCTCGCCAGGAATTGGGCGTCCTGGCTGCTGGGCACTGCCCTGCTATCCTTCCCACACTAGTGTGCGTGGTGTTGAGTGTGTTGGGTGTGGCTCTGTGTGGTGGTGTGCGGCATGTGTGTGGTTTGGGGAGAGGCAGCTTCCACATTGAGGAAGTACCTCTGGGGGCATGGCCGTGTCATGCTTGGTGGGAGCAGCAGGCATAAGATGCTTGAGCTGCATCCAGGTCCAAGGTGACCCAGCGTCTCTTTCCTTCTGCAAACATTTGCTTGGTCCTGCTCCTGGCCAGGCGCAAGGCCAGGAGCTGGGGGAATAGAGGCAAAAAGGAGCAAAGGGCCCCGACTTTGTCCTTGACGTGTTCCCAGACGGTCAGTGGTGACAGAGTGGCAGAAGCAGGTACCGGCACAGGCAGATCATGTTCTGCCCGTGGTGGCTGGGGGGCGGGGCAGGCAGGGACTTGAAATTTAACTTGCATTGCAATCAGGAAGGGCTGGGGTTGTACTGTCATCCGTGGTGGCTCTGAGAGAGTAGGGAGCAGAGGGCGATGGCATTGGGGTACGGGAGCTGAAGGTGACTGGAGGAGCTAGGCTGGCATTGTGATGAAGTGGATAAAACTGCTCCTGTGACACCCGCATCCCATATATGCCTTGGTTCAATGCAGCCCATAGCTGATGCACCTGGGAAAGCAGTGGAAGATGGCTCAATTGCCTGGGCCTCGCTCCTATGTGGGAGATGCAAATGAGACACCTGGCTCCGGGCTCCAGGCTCGGCTTAGCCCTGACTGCCGTGGCCAATAGGAGAGTAAACCAGCATGTAGAAACTCACTTTCTCTCTCTCCTTTTCCTCCTTATCTCTCTATAACTCTGTTTTTCAAATCAATAAAAATCTTGAAAGAAAACAGAAAAGGTGACGGGAGGTCGGGCAGGCAGGCAGGCAGGCCAGCACGTGGCCCATCTCAAGGGTGAGGCAGCAGCAGCAGGTGCTCCTGGGAGGGCGTGCTTTTACAGCAGGCACAGCAGCAGCTGCTGCAGAGGCAGCCCGTCTTATTTGAAGCACATTCGGAATGCTGGGCTCTGTACTCGGCACTCTCACCTTTTCCCACAAAGGTTTATTTATTTAAGAGAGCTAAAGGGGTAAAGAGAGAGAGAGAGGGAGAGAGAGAGAGAGAGAGAGAGGCTGAGATCTTCGCTCTGCTGGTTCACTCCCCTGCTCCACTCTATGACAACCCAGAGACAGGAGCTTCCTCCAGGTCCCTTGGGGGTGGCAGCAGCCCAACCATCTGGGCCATCTTCTGCTTTTCCCGGGTCATTAGCAGGGAAGCGAATTGGAAGTGAAGCAGCCAGGAGTTAAACTGGCATCCGTGCGGGTGGTGGTACTGCAGGTGGCGGCTTTACCTGCCACACCACAGTGCCAGCCCAGTGTGACTGTATAGTTAAAGGGACCTAAGGTGCTAACAGGTACAGGTGGCGCATCCCTAATCTGGAAATCCAAAGTGCTCCAAGATCTGGGACTTTCTGAATGCAGAGCTGGTCCTAAAAATGAAAAATTCCCTACCTGACCCCGTATGGTGGGTTACAGTCAGGAAACAGGTGCACCAAACACATTGTATAACATCACGTCCAGGCTAAGTAGATGAGGTGTACATGGCACCCTGTTAAGTTTCATGTTTAGACCTGTCCCCATGGCATTTCCTGTGTATCTAAATCTGGGATATTCTAAAATTTGAAAAAACCTACAACACTTCTGGCCCCAAACATTTCAGATAAGGCAAGCTACATCTCTAGCAGGTGGCGGATGGGAAACTTGAATGCTCCCTCCTCTCACCAGGCCAGCCCAGCTCTCCTTTTCCTGCCCCAGCCCCGACCTTGACATTGCCGAAGGAATCAGGACAGAGCCTGAGAAGGAGGGAGGGAGGGAAAGGTGGGGGCAGGAGGAGATGGATCCTGTGGAGATGGACCTCCCTCGTGACCTTGCTCTCTGTTGCATCCCCCTTGTAGCCCCAGTGGGTTTCTGGCCCGCTCCCCACCATCTGGCTCCCAGGACCTGCCGGAGGAGGGCCTGCTGGCATCCAGCAGCTCCCCTAGAGAACCAGTCATTCCGGGCCTTGGGAGTCTCTCAGAGGATGAAGAAGCAACAGCAGGTGTTGACCAAGGGGAGCCTCTGCCCTCCTGCAGACCCCAGCCAGATGGTGAAGCCAGCCGGGCAGAAGAGGTGGATGGTACCTGGAGCCCGTCAGGGGCTGGGCAGGGCGAGCAGGGGCCAAGCCTGAGCCCTTGGCGCCCTCCCCAAAGACCTCCGCCCAGCACCCCCAGTCAGGACTTCTCCTTCATTGAGGTCAGTGGAAGGTGGGCCCAGGGCTGAGGGTGGGCTGCAGCTGGAGCAGGGGCATGGCAGTTGAAGCCTCAGCTTTGCCTAAGCAGCCTCAACCCTGAAGGGAGAAAGTAACTATTGTGAGGGTTGGGTTGGGGGGAGGGTCTGGGTAAAGGAAGCTCCACCAGCTGCTGTTGGGGGGCTCCTGTGGGTGGGACAACAACCATTGTCCCCAACAGGATACCGAGGTCCTTGACAGTGCCATGTTTCGGAGCCGTGCCAACCTGGGGCGCAAGCGTGGCCACCGGGCCCCGGCCATCCGGCCTGGAGGTACCTTGGGCCTGTCGGAGGCGGCAGAGTCGGACGCACGCCTCTTCCAGGACTCTACAGGTGGGAGCAGTGTCTTCCTTGGCGGTGTGTCCGTTTGTGTCGGGGGGGTCATCAAGCCAGGCTTGTGCAGGGTGGGCACCTAGGGATGCTCTCCATGCTGATCTCCTTTGTCCGGGCCTTTGCAGAACCGCGAGCTGTTCGGGTGCCATCCTCAGACGAGGAGGTTGTGGAAGAGCCTCAGAGCCGCCGGACACGCATGTCCTTGGGCACCAAGGGGCTGAAAGTCAACCTCTTTCCTGGCCTGAGCCCATCAGCCCTGAAGGTACCAACTGATCAGTGAACTTATATGTGCAGCCTCTGGGCCAGCTAGTCAGCTTGCACCCAGCCTTTCTGCTGTCTGTCCTTGTATTTGTCCCATAAGGCCCCTTCCCCATGTCTCTGCCAGTTCCACTGTCCACTGAGGGCTTCAGGAAATCTCTTCTGGCCCTCCTGGACCCTGTGTTGTGTGCCAGATGGGATGGAAGGAGAACAAGGGGTGTTCTGGTCTGGGGACCTCAGGGAGAGTGGGGGAACATGAGCCTTACTTATAATTAGATTGAGTGAGGAGTTTAGGGTTATTGGGTCAGGGGGCACTGATAAGGTCTGGGTGTTTACGGACAGGGAAGAATTATTTCCTGAAGGTGGATGGGAGGGGGCACTTGGGCAAGGTCTCAGGTAAGCTCTTGCTCTCACCTTGCGGTGGGCACAGCTATTGACTGTGGGGCTGCGGTGGTGGGAGGCAGCCAGAGGGTATCTCGCTTGTCTGAATGTAACTCAACAGTATCTTTTTTAAAAAAAGAAAAGATTTATTTTTCAATTTATTTGAAATACGGAGTTACGGAGAGAGACAGAGGTAGTCTCCATTTACTTGTTCACAGCTCAGGTGGCTGCAACAGCCAGGGCTGGGTTAGGCCGAAACCAGGAGCTTCTTCCAGATCTCACACATGGGTGCAGGAGTTCAAGTACTTGGACTGGTTTCTGCTGCTTTCCCAGGTGTGTTAGGAAACTGGATCAGAAGTGGAGCAACTGAGACTCGAACCCGTACCCATATGGGGTGCCATTGCCAAAGGTGGTGTTTTAATGTTTTACACCACAGTACTGACACCCAGCAGTATGTTGCCTGTGGCTGTGTGTGAAGCTTAGTCTCCAGGAAAGCTCATCTTTAAGTGGCTGCCTGTGCATTGGGATAAATGGATCACGGAGGAACCAGAGTGTGGTCCTGGTGCTGGGTGAGTCCTTCTGCCTCTGTTACCTCTGTCTGAACTTGTCTCTCAGGCCAAGCTGCGGTCTCGGAACCGCTCAGCGGAGGAGGGGGAGCCGGTGGAGAGCAAGTCCAGCCAGAAGGAGTCTGCGGTACAACGTTCCAAGTCCTGCAAGGTCCCGGGGCTGGGGAAGCCCCTCACGTTACCTCCCAAGCCAGAGAAATCCTCAGGGTAGGTGACCTCTGCCCTGGGCATCGCCTGCTTTACTGATGAGGAGAACTGAGGCCAAGAAAGAACGCCCCAGATCTACCCGTCCGGGGGATGGCAGGGGCCCAAGCCTCAGTCCACTTCTTGGGAGTGGTTCCATCCTTGCCACACCTCCCCTTTTGTTTCCCTTTTTCTTGAAATTTGTCTTCCAACCCCTGCCCTGTAGGTCGGAAGGATCCTCGCCCAACTGGCTGCAAGCTCTGAAGCTGAAGAAGAAGAAGGTCTGAGGCGGCACCAAGGTCAGGGCCAGTCCTGGGCAGTAGCCAGGCTAGGGGTGCAGGTGTGAGCAGGTGAGCAGGCCCTGCCTCGGAGGATGCCTGAAACTGCAGCACTCCTGTGAAGCCTTAGTTTTCCAAGCCCCTTCCCAGGTGACACTGGGAACAAGTGGGGATACTAACTTCTAGACACTTAGTAAGGCCCTTGGCTTCTGGGGTGGGACGGGGTGGGAAATGAGGAGCTCTCTCATCCCAGCCTGCCCCCTGAGCTTAAAGAAATTGCCACTTGCCTGTGGCCCATTTGAGCAGGGCTAGCCAGCTTGCCTGGGCTGGTACAAGTTGGAGCACTCAGGAGACTCAAGGTGTCAGCCGGGACCCGGCTCACGACTGGACTCAGGGAGGGAGCCAGAGTGGGGGTCTGGGAGAGGAAACTGGGGGCTGCCCCCACTCTCCCCTCACTCACCTCTTTTTCTCCCTCCTTGCTACAGGCCCTTACCATCTGGCAGTCTCAGGCAGTGCCCACTCCTGTGGGGTCCCTGGGCGAGGAGGAGATGGCTGGAGCCCCACCATGCCCCAGGCTGCAGCCTCTGTCCCCCTCCACCTCTGCAGAGCGTCTGGGGAGGCACATTTATGCACTTTGTATCACCTGCCCAACTTTTCCTCTGCCCCACCCCTGCCCTGCCCTCCCCCTTCCCGCTGGATTCTGTCACTAGTGGTCGAAGGTTTTGGTCCTTTCCTGCTGTCTTCCCTCTCCCCACCGCGCCCCTCGCTTCTTCCTCCAGCCTCCCTTGGGTTTTCTTTTGATATCAATTTATAGCATTTTTTATATAAAAAAAAATCTGATTTTTTTGTAATGGGTGGAACACTGCCCCCAGCCCCACCCCCAGGTCCCCCTCACCCTGCCAGGTGCCTCAGCAGACACCGATGACATTTTGCCACTTGAAAACAATAAAGTTTTTTGGAAATTGGTGCTGCCCAGGCTTGTGTATGTGGTTATGGCTGCCTATACCTCATCCTGACCAAGACCTTGGTTGGCCAAGTGCTGGTTCCAGTCCTAGAACACATACCCTGATATGGAGTATGTCACTTCCCTTCTTTTACTCATTGTGCTCCATGTCCCTGTAGTTGGAACACCGATCACTGGTTGAGACAACCCCCATCCATGGGCCAGCCAGGGTGAGCTGGGTTGTGAGTAGGGGTGCCCTGTGCCCTGGAGTGGATCCCAGGTCCCCACTATGTTGTGGCTCAGCCTTCTCCAGCAGCTTTGAAGCTCTCCACGGCGTCCAGTAAAGGTGGGGAGGGAGCCATCCTTTGGGAGACCATCTTGGGCCTCTCGGGCCACTATAACACAGTATCTTAAAGTAAGTCCTTCGAGAGCCCAGTAATCTCTTTGTTGTGACTCTGGAAGCTGGGAACTCCACAGTGAAGGTACCGGCAGGTGTGGTGTCTGCTGAGTGTCCCATGTTCACAGGTTTTCTCTTGCTGTGTCCTTACTTGATGAGAGAGGCAAGGCAGTCCTCCAAGGACTCTGATCCCATTCGTCAGGGCTCCACCCTCGTGACCTCGTCATTCCTTGTCACCTTAGGGGTTAGGATCTCAGTGTCTGTCAGGCGCAACCATTCAGAACATGCCACTCTGCCTGTCAGTGCAATGTCTCCTCTAAGTCACGTGTAGATGAGACTCCAGACGCATGGCTTAGGCAAGCTGCTCTCCAGCTGGGAACCTGAAGCATGAGCTTCCAGGTAGGTTATGTAAAATCAAACACGAGCTTCCAAAATACAACAGTGGGATAGGCTTAGGACAGACCTTCCCATTCAGAAAGATAGAGACAGGCAAGGAAAGAGTAGCAGGGCTGGTGCTAAGGCCTTAAGGAGATGAATCATCTTCAACTTGCGGCTCTGCCCTCCTGGCCCATGGAGAGGAAGCCTGCAGAATGGACCCATTGGGAGTGACTTGGCCCTGGGCAGCTCTCTGTGGATGGCTTCCCTCTGGGATGGCTCTGGGGCTGGACCAGGTACCTGTGGTTTCCTGGGCTTGCACACTGGTGGCTGATTCGAAGTTTTGGGTGGTGGCCTCCCTCCATGGCTCCACTGGCATTGCCTTCGAGGGGGACTCAATAGTGGCCATGCCTCTGCAGAGGGTCTCAGCCAGGGTTCTGATGTGCTCTCAGGTATCCTTTGAAACCTGGGCAAGTTGAGGGCTAGCATTAGGACACAGCAAGTTAACCTGTCACCTGTGATGCCAACATTCCATATGAGCACTGGTTCAAGTGTCACTTCTTTCTTTTTAAAGATTTATTTTTTATTGCAAAGTCAGACATACAAGAGAGGAAGAGAGTCAGAGAGGAGGATCTTCTGCCTGATGGTCAATCCCCAAGTGGCCACAATGGCTGGAGCTGAACCAATCCGAAGCCAGGAAACAGGAGTGTCTTCTGGGTCTCCCACATGGGTGCAGGGTCCCAAGGCTTTGGGCTGTCCTTGACTGCTTTCCCAGGCCACAGGCGGGGAGCTGGATGGGAAGTGGAACTGCTGGGATATGAACTGTAGCCCATATGGGATCCTGGCATGTGCAAGGCAAGGACTTTAGCTGTTAGGCTACCACGCTGGGCCCTCAAGTCACACTTCTAATCCAGCTCCCTGCTAATGTGCTTGGGAAAGTGAGGGCTTGGACCCCTGTACCCGTCTTTGGCTTGGCCCAGCACTAGTTGATGTGGCCATTTGGAGAGCGAATCAGTAGATGGGACAGTCAATCTCATGTCTACTTTTAAAATAGGTAGAAAAATAAGTCTTAAGATATATGTGCTGCCAAAGTGAGCACAAAAATCTTAAGATTAAAAAAACAAAAAAATCCAGGGGTGGTAGCTAATGCCTATGGTTCATGCACTCTGCCCCAGCTGAGATGACTACCTGTCCTTAGGAAAGCAGTTGGCTACTATGGTTTCCACTGTACCTGGGCCTACTGGAGCTGAATCTGGGTGACGAGGAGTGCTGTGTGTGCTGAAATGGAGGGAGTGGAGCCTTGAGCGTCTGCTGGGTGGTGAGCATTTCCCATCTAGCTCCCTGTAGGTGCCTGTGGTATGTCTGTTGGACATGCTCGTTGCAGGCCCTGGCACTGTGCCTCCCTGGAAGGGGAAGCCCTGTAGCCTGACAGGTCTAAGGAGCAGTCCTCCATTGCTCCGTTGAGCTGCACCTGGCTGAGCCTTAGGAATCTCCGTGTCAGACGGTTGCTCGGCCACACCTTTGTTTTCCTCTCCTATGCACAGGTTAAGAATTTTCCAAATCTTTAGGCTCTGCTGAGTCACTCCTGAAAATGGTTTTTGTCTTCTTGCATTTTGCTATAAGTATCCAAGGGAGACAATGCTTCATTTTCTTTTTAGAAAGATTTGCTTATTATTATTCGAAAGGCAAATTTTACAGAGAAAAGGAGAGGCAGAGACAGAAACATCTTCCATTCACTGGTGCATTGTCCAAGTGGCTGTAACAGCCAGAACTGAACCCATCTGAAGCCAGGAGCTACTGGGTCTCCCACATGAGTGCAGGCTTCCAAGGCTTTAAACCATCCTTTACTGTTCTCCCAGGCTACAAGCAGGGAACTGGATCATAAGTGGAGCAGCCAGGTCCCAAACTGGTGCCCATATGGGATGCTGGCACCAAAGGGTGGAGGATTGGCTTGCTGAGCCACCACACTAGCCCCAAATAAACATTTTTAAAAGATTATTTTTATTGGAAAGAAAGATTTTACAGAGAAGAGAGGCAGGGAGAAAGGTTTTCATTTTGCTAATTTACTGCCCAAATGGCTACAAGCAGCCAGAGTTGATCTGATCAGAAGCCAGGAGTCTCTTCTAGGTCTCCCATGCAAGTACCGGATCTCAAGGCACTGGGCCATCCTAAACTGGTTTCCCAAACCTTAAGTGAGGAGCTGGATGGGGAGTGGAGCAGCTGGGATACAAACCGGTACCCATATGGGATGCGGTGCTTACAAGTGAGGGATTAGACAGCTGAGCTATTGCACCAGCCTCCTAAATAAACGTTTTTAGAAAAAAAAATTTAGGGTCCAGCACAATGGCTTAGTTGGCTTGTCCTCCTTCAAACACCAGCCTCCCACATGGGTTGGAACCTTGGACCCACGTTGGAGATCTGGAAGAAGTTCCTTGCTCCTGACTTTGGATTGGCTCAGCTCTGACCATTGAGGCCATTTGGAGAATGAATCTATGCATGGAAGATATTTCTGCCTTTTCTCTGTAAAATCTGCTTTCCAAATAAATAAATAAATCTTAAAAAAACACCTTAAGATACATTTCTTTTTTGTTTGTTCACAAGTTCTACTTTTGCACCAAGCACTAGTACGTGAATAAAACTCAGCCAGCTGCCTCTCCTTCATTTTCCAGTAACATGCTTCTTGTGCCGTCTGAGACCTCATTAGTGTGGCCTTCACGGACCGGAAGCTATCCACATTCTGATGGTGGCACTGAGGTTGTCCTGGGCTTGAGGCTTTCCACACAGCTTTCCCTTCTGAGCCCCTGATGGTCTGTTCATGGTGGTGGGGGCATTTTCCAGCATGCATCTCTGGATTATTCCAGCTTCTGCCCATTACCCAGTCCCAGAGATCTTTCCATGTTTGGGTATTTGTCACAGCATCGCCCTACTTAGTGTACACTTTGTCTTGGCTGTTTGTGCTGTTAACGACAAGATCCGGTGAACTGATAGATTATCCACAACAGAAATTCATTTCTCTCTGTTCTGGAGGCCAAGAGGACCCAGCTGGAAGCACCGGCAGGTCTGGTGTCTGGCGAGGCTATGGGTCCGGGTTCAGAGATGTCATCTTCTGGCTGCTGCCTTGCATGGCGGGAGGGACAGGACAGCTCTCTGAGGCCCCCTTTGTGGGGACATTCACAGGCGTCTTCTCTCTGGACCCATTCACCTCTTGCAAGGCCCCACCTACCAACACCATCCTTGCCTTAGGGGTGAGAATGTCACTGACAGACTCCAGGGACATACATTCATATCACAGCAGAGACCTGCTCTGTGGTCAGGGTTCAGCTTGTGGCCCCTACTGTGTGTAAGGGAGACTAGGGAGTGTGCTTTGCTATGCGGCCGACGGACAGAGCAGCAGATGCCGGTGGAATTTCAGAATTCGGGACTTGTGTTTGCCTGAACCAACTGCTACTTTTCCAGGTGTGTTAACAGGAAGCCGGATCAGAAGTTGAGCAACTGGGGCTTGAACCAGCACCCGTAGGGGATGCCATCCGAGACCTCAGGTGGCAGCTCAACATGCCATACCACAACACCAGCCCTTGGCCCTTCTCTTTAGAAAGGGTGCTGTGGCTATGACCTACCCTTGGAATCTAACCAAAGCCGTGACTCTAGAAAACTGCGTGTCTACACAATTTCACAAGCCAGCCAGGAATCCCTGTCCCTGACTTCCCGAGGCAGTGGTTATCAAACTTCCTGGTACATCAGCCTTCAAGGGTATTTATTTAAAACCACATTCCCAGACCTGCCCTCGGGATTCTAGTCCAGGAGAGGTACCCAGGAATCTGCATTTGAGGAGGACGCTGAAATGGAGGCTCAAGAAAGGCAACGGGCTTTGAAGTTCCTGGGGGGCGGGGAGGGAGGGATGTTGTGCTAGGCAGCTTCTGTGTCAATCTTCCCCAGGGCCCAGCGGAGCTGAGCTGGCAGGAGCTCTGTCCCATTCTCTCCCTTCCCCTCCCTGTAGGAGCTGGACTGGCAGGAGCCCAAGCCAAATACTTAAGACTCATTAGTGGAACAAATGGAGCCTGGGTTGATCCCAGGGCCTGAGTTTTTTACTGGGAGAGAGATGAGGTGGTTGAGAGAGGTGAGGGGAGCTGATTCTGGGGAAGGCAGAACCAGATTTTGAGTACAGGCAGGAGTGTCTTACGCTCTCCTTGCTGTTCAAATTAGAGAGAGAAGAGGGCAACACACACACACACACACACAC